AGATTTAAATTAATAGTAAAATCAAATTAATAATTTTTTATTTTTAATTGTAATATTTAAATGAAATTGAAGATAATAATAAAAATTATAATAATTATTATTTTTTATTCATTTTTAATATTAATTTTCATTAAAAAAAATATATTAATTTAAACCTTCCGCCTAATTGAGGCAGACTGCCTGCGCAGGCAGCTGTCGATAAAGAGCTGTGGCAGTACCTTAATTGATAATTTCAACTACCAAACAATCAAATTTGTATACCAAACACCAACAAACGAACACCAAACTTTACAAAAAGGCATTTTCAAGAAACATGCAAATATGCATTGCAGCTGTAACGTTAGCGCTTTATTGATATTTTTTTTTGCAAATGGTAACTACCCAGCGGGCACACTTCCCTTTTTGATAACTTCAAGTTATCGTTTTGAGTAGATGTTAACATTTTAATGTTTTTTAGTTATCGTGTGCCCCTTGCATTCTGCCGTTTGAAATAAAAACTTAGTTAACTGACATTTATATCGAAACGAGAAAATAAGGAAAAACTGTTTGCTTTCAGAACCCTAATAAAAATTAAAAAATTGTTCAATTCAACTTCACATACTGGGTATAATGATGGTGCTCTATTTAATTATGAAATAAAAAATTAATTATTTAAACAAATTATATGAAAAAATGCACTTGCGTGTTTTTCCGAATGCAAATATGAAGTAAAAAGTTAGGTAAAGTCCTTTGCGTAGTTGCTCAACAAAAATGTACGCGAGCTCGGTCCTCCGATTTGATGGAAAAACTTACCTAACTGACAATGACGTCATGTGGTAAGGGGACGGCTGCTTGCTGCTTGCGACCCGAGGATAAACCGAGTTTAGCCGAATGCAGTTAAGTAGTCGCTCGGCTCTGTCTCGACTGACTTTTTGACGGAATAACTTAGGCAATTGCAAGCGTTGCAGATGCAAAGTTTTTATTTCAAATCCAACGCTCAGACTCGACTACTTATTTGATACAAAAAACACACAAATGCCTTTAACAAAGTTTTTCCTTCAAATCTTACATTCGAGCTCGTAGCCTCGTTTGTTTTTTGGACTACGCAAAGTCCTTTCCTTAACTTTTTATCAAATATTCCTTCATTTTCTGCAATTTCTTAGATTTCTAATATTAATTTCTTACAAACAATAATTTGCAAAAAAAATTTAAACTATAACTATTAGACGCAGTTTTTTCTTACGAGTTCATTGATACCAAAAACTCATTTTTCACCAAAATGTCAGTTAACTAAGTTTTTATATCACACGGCAGCATTGTGTACTACGTGAAAGGTAGAAAAAGATTTTCTAAATAACAACCAGCTATGTACAACTTTTTATTAGTTTACTTCATTATTATGTAATATTGTAAATATCATCAACTTAAAATTTACATAATGCATGTAAATTACTGTTAACTAAAAAAATTTGAAAGTGTTATTAAGAAATGAACAGAAAACTACCAAACGACCAAACTTGGATACCAAACACCACCAAACGACCACCAACGATACCAAAAGGAATTTTTCGAAAATATTCATATATGTGTTGCAGCCGTGAAATTAGCACTAAAAACTTTAAATCATTGTAGCTTTTTTAATTTTGACCACCAAACGACCAAACTTGGATACCAAACACCACCAAACGACCACCAAACGATTCCATACCAGTAAACCTGTTTTCCTTATACTTGGTGTGCCAACTACACGGGGCTCTCAAAGCGGTGTTACCGCAGCGAAAGGGTTTTACCCTAAGTGGTCTTACCACAGGTGATGAGGTTTTACCTCGAAACGGTTTTACCGTAGTCACTAGGAGACGATTGTCTCAACGCGGTCTCTACCACGACGAAATGGTTTTACCATGATCTACGATTTTATGAACGGTTTTACCGAGAGTAAAATGCCGTCTACGCGCACGTTTCACGAAGTCGCGAATTAATATCCGCGCATACACCGATCCCAGTAAAAAAAATTCGATACACGGACCGCGGAGTTCGTATACGAGCTCGGTAGCTCGTATGAGAAATATGAGAAATCTCTCATACGAGCCTTTTCCGTAATGAGAAGTGTATAGATGCTTGTATACGAGGTGACTTTTAAAGCATTTTTCTTAATATAACACTATTTTAAAGTAAATGTAGATAATAGAAATGAATTTTCTCATCTAAAACAAAGCTAAATTCATAAGGGAAATGAAGTTTTAAGAAAAAAGGATAATTTTGTTCAAAAAATTAATTTATTCACACTGAAAAAAGGTTAGAATTTGATAATTCCTTGTTACTCTTACTTACCGACATTAGATATTTCTCGGATGCAGTAAGCACGATTTTGTATTAGCGGTAGAATAAATAAGTTTTTCTTCATTACTAATTAATAATATATTATTATTTATTTATTATATAAATGTTCTTATATAAAATAATTAAATTTAATACAAAATCCTGCTTACCGCATCCGAGAAATATCTAATGTCGGTAAGTAAGAGTAACAAGGAATTATCAAATTCTAATCTTTTTTCAGTGTGAATACATTTTTTGAACAAAATTATTCTTTTTTTCTTGAAACTTCATTTCCCTTATGAATTTAGCTTTGTTTTACTTTGAAAATTCATTTCTATTATCTACATTTACTTTAAAATAGTGTTACATTAATAAAAATGCTTTAAAAGTCACCTCGTATACAAGCATCTATACACTTCTCATTACAGAAAAGGCTCGTATGAGAGATTTCTCATATTTCTCATACAAGCTACCGAGCTCGTATACGAACTTCGCGGTCCGTGTATCGAATTTTTTTTACTGGGATGTTCACGTTCCCGCCGCTACCGACGTTTTCCGTATAATAGTTTTCGTTACGTTTTCATTACGCGATTTGACGATTCTTCACGTTTAATTAGTTTCTTTATTGTTTGTAAATATTTATAGATACACGTTTTCTATGTTTCTGTAATTGAGCTTGTTAATTTCTTAGATTTTAACGAACCCTGACCGACGAGCTAATCCTTCTCAATTAACATTCATTACAGGTTATTCGATATGGTAAAATTTTGTATTCAATATAATTTAAAAAGGTTTTTGTAATCAGCGATCATGAACACTACCGAGTATGAATTTTAAATCAATTTTAAATTTTATGACTTTATTTGGAAAATTATCCGCCATATTGGATCCTACATTTTGAAAATCTGACTTTAGATTTGTGACCAGGGACCGTAAAAACCCTTGTATACCAAGTTTCATAAAAAAAATTAATTTTTAATTCTTATGTCCGCCATAATGGATCCTACATTTTGAATTTTTTAAATCTGACTTCATATTCGTGATCAGGGACCGCAAAAACCCTTGTATACCAAGTTTCATAAAAAAAATGAATTTTTTAATTTTTATGTCCGCCATATTGGATTCGACATTTTGAATTTGGAAAATCTGACTTTAAATTCGTGATCAGCGATTCCGAAAACAATAGAGAGGATAATTTAAATTTCTAAATATTTCTTAATTTTGGAGTTATTAATTTTTGCCAAAAATTTACGATTCTGGCCCACTGTGTAACCCTGTAATTGCAATTTGCAAAAACATTGAAAAGCATGATTTAGTCCTCAAAGTAGCATAATCCATTATGAGCATAGATGCCATATAATTTTGTAACTCGGGTCATAATTTCTATTTAAAAATTTTCTTTTTAACTAAATCCACGGTATTATTTAAATAATATTGCAGAAGTTTTGTATATTGTATTTTTAAATTATTTATTTGCTAAAAATTGTTAAATTTATAAATACGTCCAATAAATACTGCCGAACAAATTCACAATCAACATTTAAATACTGGCGGTAATAATTCTATTTATCAGAAGTTTAAAGATCAATAAAAAAGCAAAGATTACTGTCTTGTACACTGAGAAAAATAAACATAACTGGGTGCTGTCCGGACAGGACTGGTCCCTGTCCAAAATTTTTTTTTCATTTAGACAGTACTCTTTGCTTTCTAGACAGGAATGATTCCTGTCCAGAACGGACTCAGTAATGTCTTAGACATTAATGAAACAGACAGATGTGAACGATGTCCGGACAGGAACCATTCCTGTCCAGACATTAATGACAACTCGCCGCCTTTAACAGACGTAAGACATAATTCAAAACAATTATAATTAAAGGTTATAATAATGTCAATAAAAGATAGAATTAATTAAAGTAAACGGTCGTTATTTTACTGTTAGATGTAAAAGTAAAATATATTGCTAGTTAAGTGAATAAAGGACAGATTGTGTTTTAGGGAAAATAAATCGGACATTTAGAAAAAACTCTTTCAGAAATTATTATTTTAGATATTATTATATCTTATATTCTATACATTAATAAAACATTATATTAATTTTTAGTGTTTTCTATTTCAATCTAAACGCGAATTTTTTTTTAACACAATAATTAAATTAAATTAAACAAGTAATTAAATGATAGTGAATACGTTATAATGTATTATATATTTTATAGAGTAGTAGTATTTAAAGAAAATAAAAGTATAATATATATTTTCACATTTAATAAAATTTAACGAATGCAATACAATAATATTTTAAATATATGTAAAATTTATTTCAACATTATTACAAAAGAATACATTGCTGTGAATCAGAGTTCAAGTTTTTGTAAAATATATAACGGAAATAAGAGTAGGTTTTATGTTTCTAAAGTTGAAAATAAATATTAATATAATTTTCCTAAACGACTCAAATCCATCGCTTTGGGATGTACAGTTTTCCATTCTTATTTTTACTAAGAAATGAAACATAAGCTGATTGTATTTTTTCATTGGAAAGTCGAACAAATTTGAATCTATCAGTTAAATCGCGAGAATACAGTTCGTAAGCTTGGAAATGGTGGTCATATAAATAATTTCCAGTCACATTTTTTGCGATAATAATTATTTTTTGAGGTTCAACTTCAACTATAATATAAACAATGTATAATTCTGGGTCATTTTCACCAGGTATCATTAATACTGCATTCTGACAAATGTTGCGACCTTGAAGTAAAATGGACTGTAAGTGTTTCACGTTGTTTTGTACTTCAATATCAGCAAGTAAAGGAAAATACAAATGCATGTTTGGCAAGTCTGTTACTTTTAGAGTTTCTGAAGTCTGATATTCATAAAGTTTCAATTCCAAATTTTCATTACGCAAAAATCTGTCAGAAGCCTGCAACTGAGATTTAATAGCTAAAGTCTTAGTAATATTTTGTCTATTACGTGAAGCATGAGCGGCCAATTTTGAAATTCGGTTTTTACTTTCGCATCTTAAAGTTGACAGATGCCATATAGGACCAAAACGCTTTGATACTCTAGGATAGTGGGGGAGAAGATGATGCTTCGGTTTCACGCAATCCTTAAACAAAGAAGTCAACTTTCCTAAATATTCTGCTATTAGGCTTTCTAAGTAGTTCAATATGTCAACATCAACAATTGGTGAGACGACAATATCTATTATTTCTCTTAAAGTAATAAAAAGATCCCAGTGTTCATTAGCACGTGGTACTAAATCTCCAATCAGTAAACCAAGATTTCGAATAAAGCAGAATGCTTCACTAGCCGACATTTTTATGTGCTTGTTTTTTATCTGGTTCAATTTTATCGGACGTGGCTTATTCGTTTCATTTGGCCCGTAATCAAAATTTTGAACTCTAGAATTAAGTTCTGTTAGTGTAAAGAAATCATCAATTTCAATGAACTGGTGAAGAATTAATCCAGTATCATATTCAACTATACCTTCAAAAATATCATGCGCAGGGTCAACGCCTATTAGTTCCAAGGTAGAACCAGATTTTAAATCAGATATAGCTGATTGTCTTGCGACACCTGTTTTTTTAAGATCATCTGCAAGCAGATCAGATTGGTATGATGTTTCGTCTCTAAGTTTACACTGCGATTCCTTTAAAATTGTGCTCATTTCTGAACTCTTCACGTGACAAAATCGGCATGGGTAGTTAGCCGTGAAACCTGTTGTAAAACCAAGTAATTGATTAAATGCCTTATTATCGCCGATACAAGTTCCTACAACCAAATAAACTTGTTAAATACCATCTGGAGTGGAAACAGGTATTCCTGAAGTTGCCAAAAAATTCAGTTCATTTACACCCTTTGTAAAAAACATACGAAGAGGGACTTTTTCCAAGTCAATAGATCTGAACAATGTCAAGATAAAAATGTTTTCTACCTTTGATTGTAGCTGAGGATGTAAACAGGCAATAACGACATAAACGGCACCAATTTGTCCTATTCCCTTATGGCTACCTAGTGGATTGTTAGTTTCATATTCGTCCCAGTAAAGAAATAAGGGAAGAACAATCCGATTCTCATAATCACGTTTTATAATTTTCCAACGTTCACCTTGTACAAAATTAAACAATATAGAGTCATCATTTTCCAGATCAGCAAGATAAGATAATGTACTTTTAAGTACTCCTGGAATTTCTAAAAATTTTTTAATAGTTTCACGAATAGGGAAAAATTGGAAAGAAACCTTCTCATTTTCGGGATCGGAAATATTTGCTTGATTATTATAGAAATCTTCCTTGTTGATAATAACTTCTACAGGTGGAAAGTAGGTTCCTAAATTTTTTTCAAAATGAACTAAACATTTATGCTCTGTATCGATATGAGCAAATACGTTTTGAAAATCGTTAAACATTCGTTGAAATGCATGAAGATTTTGTGAATTCTCTCCTAATTGAGATAATCTTAAGAGAACTATATGAATTAAATTTGTAACCGATTTTTGTTGTAAAATGCTTGTCATATCATCTATAAACTCAAATGCTCGCGTTCTTGTTAAATCGGGTTGACTAAGCCATTTGCTGGCAACTAAATCAGCCTGCAATTTTAAGATTTGACAAAATATTTGTGGATCCATTTTACACAATATCAGCCCTTACAATGTATAAAATCAAAAGTTGAAACAAGTAAACAACTAATAAAATACGATAACGATCAAACAAATAAACTACGAAGTGAGAACTACTCGTTGATTTTTTACTCGCCGGGAAGTTTCAGTTCATTCACGAAGAAAGACAATGCTTTTTTAGTTACTTGAAGCAACTTATCGTCGGGCTTATTGATTCGCAAAATAATTTTCTGCACAAGAACCCATGCGTGAGAACTTTTGGTTGGATACGGAATCCGGTATGCCAAATAAATTTTTACAGCCAAATCGAAAGCTTCAGGTATAGATTTACAATCGTATTTCACAGTTCTGACGATTAAGTATATTGTTTTTGGATCTTTGAGATTGCCAGTGATGACGACATAAGGTCCTTGTTCTTGGGGGGTTTGTTGTAATTTCCTTTCCACGAATGAATCTACGTCTTCATCAACCTAATGGAATTAAATGCCTTATGAGTTGTGTATATATATTAAACATTATAAAAACGAAACTTTTAAGGATTGCTTAAACATTGTGTAAAGAATACTCAAAGAAAATATTATATTCAGGGTGTCTACTAACCGGGAAAACAGGAAAATGAATTTGATCGGGAATAAGCCAGAAATTGTGTTCAAAACCGGGAATTTTTTCACCAAATTAAAAAAAATTATAATTTTAATTTGTTTATAAAAAATCGCTTTTTATTTCAATTTGTATTTATAAATAATTAATTTGACAGTAAAAAATCAGTCACTGATTCAAATATATAGTATGTAATAAATTCAAAAAAATATCGAATTAATAGAAATTTTGGGAAATTCAACTAAAAATAATTAAATTTGTTAAAGAATTTCATTAAAAACTTTTTAACAAATCGAATTTTCAAAGTATTTTAATTTAATAATTGAATTTTATAAAGAGTTACATTCTAATGTATTTGTTTTTTAGTGTGAAGATTAATAATTAAAATTTTTTAATAAAATTGAATTTTCGCAATGTTTTTTTGAAAAATCTGAAAAATAAGATTTTTGAAATTTTAAAATTCTTTTATTTCAAGATAATTTAAATTTTATAAACAAATAATTGAAAACTTTTGAAATAATTGAAATTTCTTTACTTTCTATTAAAAATAATTTAATTCTTTTAAAGAGATTTATTTATGTTCGGAATCAAATAAATTTAAATTTGATGAGAAAAAAGCCGGGAAAAATTAGAACAGAGCCGAGAATTTTGTTAAACGAAAATAGTAGATACCCTGTATATTGGACATTTTGGACAGTGAAAGCAGTATATACCATACCGCTACATTTGAGATGAACGTTTCTCGATCAGCAAGTTTGATCTTTTTTTCTTCGTCTGTGTCAAGTTTCAATCGCTTTGGTTTTCTGTTTGAATTTGGCTTTAATAGGGCAACGATTGCTGTCGGAAAAATGGTTATCAGAACTGTGTCTTTCTGATCTAAAAATCAAATTTCAGTAATAGATATTATTATTATGAATTAAATATAAACGACTGAATTCTTCGATGTAAATAATATACCATCAGTTAACGATTCAATATTATTGAACAGCTCTTGTAATTCATCATCAAGACGTCGTGAACTAATGAATTTGACTAAAGCGTCTCGAAATTGTGTCCAAGTTTCTACAATGCTTATTGAAGTTTCGTAGTATTTTTCGAAGTCCAACAGTATCTATATAAAAGCATACCTTTATGTCCATTTAAAATTGTAAAAACTATACCCATACCAAAGATAAATATAAATTTACCAAATCACGATGTTTTGCAAGACAAGGCAACTTTTCCCACTGCCATAATGCTCCGTTTAAACTTTGTTTTGACATCTCACGACGTGCAAAAAATGTTTTCTGCCAAGCATTTTTGAGTACATCCCAATCAAGTCCATTTTCACAAGGTGCTTTAATCAGTTGCAGTAATTCATCAACTGTATCTGTTAAATATATTGTATAATATTATGGATGCAAAATTTATATTTATACACATATATAATCGTGAAAATACCAGGTTGTTTATCAGCATCAACATCGACATTAACTTCTTCTAAGGTTGCTTTTACTAATAAGCCATCTTCAGCGAGAAGAGTTCTCAAATAATTTATGCGATTCATGAATCGTCCAGAAGCTCGAATTTTTTTTGATACACCACCAATTTTGACTGTCTTCGTTGCTGTGTAAAATACTCCTGGGACCTGCTTGAAAATGGTCGCACATTCCACCGACAGTTGAGTCAAAATCTCAGAAGAAATTCTATAAATGGATAAATTGTTAATTTTTTAAGTTTTGAATGAATTATAATTCCTAATAAAATTTTTTTTAATCTTGTTTCTATTTTTTATTTTGATATAAATTTGTTATATTTTTCCATTTTGCATTTGTATTTATTTATTATTATTATTTATTTTTATTTATTTATTTATTTATTTATTTATTTATTTATTTATTTATTTATTTATGTATTTATTTATTTATTTATTTATTTATTTTTATTTTTATTTTTATTTTTATTTTTATTTTTATTTTTATTTTTATTTTTATTTATTTTTATTTTTATTTAGTATTTAAAATTTTTTTATAATTCCATTTTCAAGAAAGTGTGACAAGTTCCTCGATTAAAATTATAGAATGTATTATTAATATGCATTTTGCAGTTTAAAATTTAGAGAAAAATTATAAAAAATTAAAAATGTAATTAAAAACGATTCAGTTATAGAGCAAATAATTTCTCGCAAAAATTCTTATACATATGGTTATTGTAAAGAGCTTACTCAAAGCTTTTCAATGGATTTTGTAAACTTATATTTTTTTCTTGAAAAATGAGGTTACATTCCCGATTTATAATCAAATGAGTTAGAGAGGCTAAAGCATTTTCTGAAAGGTTTTCATTTTTTTCGAAGTGGCTAAGAATTCTTTTTCCATCGAATGATTTTGACAGGAAGTTTTTGAGATTCTCCCTCCCAATTAAAGCACTGTTCTCTCCAGGAAGAACAGTTTCTTGACATTTTGTACAGAGGATGTCACAAAGTGTGGAATTCGTAGCACTAGCGATGGAATTATGAAGCGAATTTTCAAAAGAGAATACAATTTCTATAGAACGATTAGAAATGAATAATAAGAATAAAATAATTTATTTTTAAAGAAAATTTAAAGATTAATAAAAACGTATAACTTACCCTGGGACTCCATATTTACACTTTAAACAACTGTCATAATAACCTTTGAAAACTATTGCGAAATTTCAGCATTCATTTTTTTAATTATTATAAGGTGATATTCATAGAAGTTATAAAGTTTTTTTTGTATAGAATAAAATCAGAGATTATTTAAGGTTGGATTTTTTCGAACACTACAAATAAGTATACAGATTTATTTAAACGCGGCGAGTTGTCATTAATGTCTGGACAGGAGTGGTTCCTGTCCAGACATCGTTCACATCTGTCTTCTTCATTAATGTCTAAGACATTACTCAGTCCATTCTGGACAGGAATCATTCCTGTCCAGAAAGCAAAGAGTACTGTCTAAATGAAAAAAAAATTTTGGACAGGGACCAGTCCTGTCCGGACAGCACTCAGTTATGTTTATTTTTCTCAGTGTAGGCTTTGTGTAAAATAAACCATGTTAAACTTTATGATTCATGTGTATAGAGAATCGAGAAAAGTGAACTTTTGGGCCATTTCTAAGTAAATAATAACTTTCGTTTAAAAGAAAAAATTTTTTTTTATTATATTACTAAAAAATATGTTGAGTTGGTTTTGAGACAAATATAAGTTTATTTAACTGAAATAAAATATATTTAGTTTAAATAACATTTTTCTCTGGGTGTAGATGCCTCAATTTAAGGCGTTTTTCCGAGTAGGATAAAAAAGGAAGTTTAACATTTTTAGTATTTATTTTTTTGCAAGTTGTTCATTAATGTTTATAGAACACAGGAAAAAATTAGAAAAAAAAATCAAAAAATTTATAAGTTATAAACTGGTGAAGTGGGGACTGAAAAAAAGAAAGTGCGAACTGGTTGACAGTGTGGAGACTTTTGTAATGCTCTAAAACAAATAACCTAAAGGAATTCTTGATTATTAAAGGCTTCGCTATGGTCGGTGCCTTGGAAAAAAAATCTTTTTTTTACAAAATGGCGACGATTTAAAAAAAAGGGGTTTTTGGGACTGTTTTTTGACATTTTGGAATTTTTTAAAAATAGTAAAAAAAATATTTTTTTGTAAAATTGTTCATGTAACTAAATTAAAAATCTTTTCTTATCTCATGTTTCTCTACTTAACTATTTTTGATAAACAGTTATTATCTTTTGCTTTGAAAGATAATTTTGAAAGATTACGTTACATCCGGCAAAGAGAGCACCTTAGTGTATAAGCTAAATTCTGAAACTATAATAATAACTGTAGGCATTGAAAAACCTAAAAGTACACATTTATTTAATCTATTCCTACAAGTGATACCTACCTATTACATGTATTTTCTTGATTAAGCACCCAGAAATGTTATTTAATTCTATAGTAACTTGTAACCTATTTTCTATTTGTTTTGTTCATTTTTCATGTACCTAACTCATAAAAAAAATGAAATTATTGTTTTGTTCATTTGTCATGTACCTAACTGATAAAAAAATGAAACTATTGTTTTATCATAAACTATATTTTGAAGAAATAAGAAACTAAAAAATATTTTTCTCATAGTGCTAAAAGTTATTATTTGTGACGAACTCTTTGAGTAAATTAATCGATTTTTCGCCAAAAAATAAACAGTAAATTTTTTATAAAAAATAAAGTTTACATCCAATTAAAAAATCCATTTATGTACTTGCAAAGTTTATAGTTTATAAAATTAACCATATGCATAACTATATGTTATGCATACTAAACTTTGATTTGTTGAATTAATCTAGGAATCATAGTTGAAATGATTAGGAATCCTTTTTAATTTTACAGGTTAAGATTAAGTATAGGTTCATAGTTAATAATACCGTAGAAATTTTTTCGGGTGCAGGCATCAGGGTTGAAAATTTAACACTATGTATACTAGGAGTTAAATTAATTATAATTAAAGAAGCGGTGTTGTTAAAATCGAATATTTGCAAAATAAACTATGTACTATTATATAGAGGAATAAGTTCTAAAAGTATGAAAGCGATCCGAAATTTTGCAAAAAAAAGTTGTGGCAGCTCAGAAATAATGCCTCATGTTAGTTATATGTATAATAAAATATCTTATAGTAAATAACTGTTTATTTATTCTAATAAGTAATTAATTTATTTTAGGTGAGGAGGCAACATGATAAAACCACTTCAAGGAGTTTTAGATTAGTTCTTTAGAACCTTAATAAGCAACTTCAGTAAACAATTGTTTACTTCAACATGGTTCAGCAGAGGGTTCCAGGCATTAATGGTAAGATAGGGGCCGTTCAAAAAATACGTAACGCTTTAGGGGGGAGGGGAGGTCAAGCTGTTTGTTACGGTCAGCAGAAAAAATGACGCTAATGTATACAACATTGCGTTACATGGGGGGAGGGGGGGTCTAAATTTCCGAAAAATAGCGTTACGTATTTTTTGAACGGCCCCATAGTCCCAAAGATATGGTTATTAAAGCGAGTTAAGTTAAATATGTTCTGTTGAACTTTAATTTTTTTTGTTTAAATAATACTTTGGAAAGTAGTTTTTTTTATTCAATAGTATCTCAATAGGTTTTAAATAATTAAATGTTACTGTTCTCGTGTAATGTAGACTTGATTGCTTTTCTCTTAAAATATGGATTAATTCGAACTAGGATTTTGTCAGGAAAAGATTAAAATATGTTAAGGAACTTACATATAAATATTTATACTATAATCACTTTTATTTATTAATTTGAAAAAACTTGTTTACATAGGTAGAGGTGGAAAGCGTTTTATCTTAACACTCATCGTAGGAACAATTTTTGGTTTTTTATCAGCATGTCTTCTTATCACAGCTACTAAAGATGTATCACACATATTTAATTGGTTGCCTCATAGTGCTGCACCCGGTAATGGACACCAGTTTCCAGATGCTGATTTACGAGTAAATTTTCATAATTAATTAATTATTAATTATATTCTTCTTTTTTTAATCAAACTGTGTAGGGAAGAGACTAAATTTTCATTTAATCTTTGAAACAAATCTTTATATCTATTAATTGTCGCAACCTATGTTGCTAAGTTCTGTGTATGTTATCAACACAAAACTCATGTAACCTGTAATATTTTATTAGTTTGAACCAGATGGAGATATTAAATTTCATGAAAAAGATGAAATTTTCCACAAAAATGAAGATAAGGTAGCACAAGAATTAAAAAAGAAAGTTCGTGTACTCTGCTGGGTAATGACTGGACCAAATAATCATCAGAAAAAAGCTAAACACGTGAAAGCAACTTGGGGAAAGCGATGTAATGTCCTACTCTTTATGAGTTCCGAAAAAGGTGAAAAAATCTTGAGACTTAAAAATACCATTGTCAGAAACTTTTTTCTCAACTTAATAATAAGTTTGCAATCTAAATGATCATCAATCTTATTATTGATAAATAAAAATTTGAATGTTAATCATTTTTAGATGACAGTTTACCTGCAATAGCTTTACCTGTAAAAGAAGGAAGGAATAATCTTTGGGGAAAAACAAAAGAAGCATTTAAGTATGCGTATGAAAATTATAAAGATAAAGTTGATTGGTTTATCAAGGCTGATGATGACACGTGAGTACTTTTTAAATTCTTTATACAAATTCTAGAGCACTATTGGGAAATGTCAGAGAATTTTATAAACCTTGAAAAAACCTGGAAAAGTTAGGGAATTTTGATGGAAATCCTGAAAAATTGTTGTTTTCTAAAGTTATTGTGCTTATTCTTGAAATCTAATTTTACTTAAATATTTCATAATTAATTCAATTTTAAAAGAGTTGCGTTTACAATTTTCATAAGTAGATGAACTTCAAAAGGTTTTAGTTTGAAATTTTGTAAAATTTCAATTTTCAATTAATTTAATTAGAAATCTCAAAAAACGTAGATTTTTGAGAATTTTTAATTATTCCAATTCTTCTGAAATTAGTTAAATTTTTTAATATGTATTTAATTGATTATTTAAAAAAATGGAGTTACAGAAGAATTTTAGTTAAGAACACTAAAAGAAATTGAATTTTAAAGCAATTATAATTATTTTCATTATCTATACTATATCACTAAAATTTCCCAATAAAATTCAACTATTTTGAAAAGTAATATAATTCTTCGCAAAAATTCAATTATATTCAAAAATTTAAAAAATTCTTATCAAAATTTCAATTATCTTTATGAATAACAAAAATTCTCCTCCAAAATTCAATTATTATTTTTAAAAAATTTAATAAAATTCTTTGTAACAATTTAATTTTTTTCAAAATAAATAATTTTAATAAGATTCTTCGTAGAAATTTAATCAATTTAAAAAATTTGTCAAAATTCTATTATTTTTAATATCTACTATTTCATTAAAATTTCACAAAAGAATTCAATTATTTAAAAAGAAATTTGAATAAAATTCGTCTCAAAAATTCAATTATTTTCAAAATGTAATATAATTTTTCGCAAAAATTCAATTATGTTCAAAAATTTACAAAAATTCTCATCAAAATTTCAATTATCTTTATAAATAATATAATTCTTGTCCAAAATTCAATTATTTTCAAAAATTTTCCCAAAAGAATTCAATTATAAACAAAAAAATTTTTAACAAAATTCTACACAAACATTTAATTATTTTCATAAATAATAATTAAAATTTCACAGGCATTGAATTATATTCAAAAACACTTATAAAATTTTTTGGTGAAGTTAAATTATTTTTAATACAATTTTAATCAAATTTCTTAAAAAATTAAATTATTCATAAAAATTTTATTAAACCTTGTCAAGATAATTCAAATATTTAAAAATTTGTTTATAAAATTCTTTATAATAATTCAATTTTAAGAAACATTCAATTATTTAATAAAGTATTTATTTTTGTATTTAAATTATTGAATTCTCATAGATTTTTGTATTAAATATATTGATTTAAAAATGAATTGCAGTTAAAATTTTAGATTAGAATTGAATATCGAGAGCATTATATCGTGAATTTTTAAAAATAATTAAATTTTAATAAGGTTTCAAATTAAAAACTTTGAAATTCTGAGTTTTTCACACTTTTAATTAACAATTATGTAGAATTAATTTTTTGAAAAAGTTTAATTAAATTTTTTTAATTATTTGAAGTTTTTCTTTTCCGATATATATTTTATTGAAGAATTTCAGAATAATCGAAATTTCGTAAAATTGAATTCTAAACAAAAGGATTTGAAAATGATCAAAGAACTTTAAAAATTATTTTTAAAAAATTGATTTAGAGAAGAATTGTAGTTAAAAATTTTAGAAATGAATAATTGAATCGAAATGCTGAAAATCATTTTTGAAGAAGTTACAGTAACAGTAATCTTATAATATAAAATAATTATTTTGCCATGTTCTAATTATTATAAAACATGAAGAAAGCGATCACTCCGAGTCGAAGACTCGAAGTGATCTTATTGAAATTGAAAAAATAATGAAAAATATTTATTTAAAAATGAAGTTTTTGATGTTTTCGAATAATTTTAATTTTGAAGAAATTTGTAAATAAATGTAATACAACATTTTTTTGTATCTAATCATTTTCCGAGTGAATGAGAATATTCTTTAGAGACAGGGAAAAAGTTAAAGTTTTGTCTTTAAATCAGAGTTATTTAATTTGGTAAAATATAAATGTAGTTTTAAAAACCTGGAAAAATTTCGTTTTTAATCTGGAAAACCTGGAAAAATCAGGGAATTTGAAATGAGCATTCTGGCAATTTTTATATTTGTCAGAATTTTGATGTGAACTTTTTCCTAAATAAAAAATTAATTTACAAGTAATTCTAATGAAGTAAAAAATTGGGATCATTTTGTATAGCTTAAATATAAAATTTAAAAAATATTTTTGCTGCAGATATCTAACTTGTGTTTATTGTTTCAGATATGTAATATTAGAAAATTTACGATACATGTTATCTTCATACAGTCCAGCGTCTCCGTTGTACTTTGGATGTAGATTTAAGCCATACGTGAAACAAGGATATATGAGTGGTGGCGCGGGATATGTACTTAGTAGAGAAGCTCTTAGGAAATTTATTGAGGAAGGATTACCGGACAAAACAAAATGTCGACAGGATCATGGTGGAGCTGAAGATGTAGAAATGGGCAAATGTTTAGAGAACGTGAATGTACTTGCAATGGATTCGCGTGATCCACTGGGTCGTGGAAGATTTTTCCCGTTTGTACCGGAACAACACTTAATATCAAAACAACGGGACGTTAACTTTTGGTATTGGAATTATATTTACTACGATACTAAGGATGGTTTAAATTGTTGTTCTGACAGTGCCATATCTTTTCACTATGTGTCGCCGAATATGATGTACGTTCTCGAATATTTAATTTATCATTTGAGACCGTACGGAATCACGCATAGTGTAGATGAAATAGCAACAAATAAATCGATTTCTTTGAGTAATAATAACTAGTCTCGGCTAAGTCAACTTATTTTTTATTGTCAAGTGCAAACTTTAATGTAATATAATAATGATAATCATTCCTTGTTATTAATTCCATTTTTATAAGACGATTTTTAACTTTCATTAATGGAAATTAATAGCATCATATATGCTATTCAATAAGTTTGCGCAATACATTAAGAGTATCTGTAACAGCAGACTGAAGTGATGCAAAAATGCTAGTCAGATACTAATTTATAAAATAAATTTTTAATCTACACGTACTGTAAATAAGTAAATGTTTTAAAAGCTTTTATGTAAATTTATACATACCAAAAACTTGTAATATTATTTTTTATGGTATCTAAAAAGTCAGACTATATTCTGATACAATTTTAGATGATAAGACATAGTAATTATTTATTATGTTTAAAGTTACCTCAATTAATGGAAAATGTTATGATAAAAGAAGATTATAATTTTTCTGTAAAATTATTACAATTATTAAAATTGATTTTTAAAAAACAGGCTCAAGTATGGGAGATTTATTTAAATTCACTGTTTTTTCCAACAAGTCGTAAACACAGGTCCCGAACCAGTGAAAGTATTTAAAAATACGGACTTTAAGGATCAAAAATGAAAAATTACGGACCAATTACTGACAAAAATGTAACCAGTCCGAGTCAAATAATAGAACATTTTACTTAAAACTATAAATTAGATTTTTCATAACTATAAAACATGAAGATATCGATAACTCTGAGTCTTCGACTCGGAGTGATCGATTTCTTCATGTTTTATAATAATTAATAATTAACGAGTGATAAAATCATTATCAATTCAATTATTATTTTCAAGAATTTTTCACTAAAATTCTTCTTTAAACGGATTATTTTTAATAGTTTTCGAGAAAGTTATTTGACAATTTTCAAATTCATTTGTTTACAATATTCAATTTTACGAAATTTCAATTATTCGTAAATTCTTCAGTTAAATATATAAAATTAGAAAATTAAAACTTAGACTAATATAAAAAAAATTCAATTAAACATTTTCAAAAAAATTAATTTCTAAATTCAATTATTTCTAAAAATTCACACTAATGCTTTCAATATTCAATTATTATCTAAAATTTTAATTGAAATTCATTTTTAAATTAATTTTTATTAGAAAATTCTACGAGAATTCAATTATTTCAATACAAAGAAGACAATTTATTGAATAATTGCATGTTTCTTAAAATTGAATTCTCATAATGAATTTTATCAATAAATTTTTAAACAATTGAATTCTTTCTACGAATTTTAATACAATTTTTAAGAATAATTACATTTTTTGAAAAATTTGATAAAAATTGTATTAAAATTTATTATTTGTAAAAATAATTGAATCCCTAAGAAGAATTTGATTATTTTTGAATAATATTTAATTTTTGCGAATAATATTATTATTCTTGAAAATAATTGAATTCCTGCAATAATTTGTAACTTTTACAAAATTAAATTTTTTTTTCGTGTTTTTAACTACAATTCTTCAATAGATGCATTATTTTTAATAATTTTTGAAAAAGTTCTTTAAGAATTTTTAAATTCATTTGTTTATAATTCAATTTTACAAAATTTCAATTATTCGCAAAATTTTTTAGTTAAATATATATTAGAAAATAAAAACTATAAATAATTTTAAATAAAAATCTGCAATTAAACTTTCTCAAAAACTTTAATTCCGCAGAATTGTTAGTTCAAAATATGAAAAATTCAGATTTTCAAAGATTTTAATTTAAAACCTTTTCAAAATTCAATTATTTATAATAATTCCTGATATAATGCTTTTAATATTCAATTATGATCTAAAATTTGAACTGAAATCAATTTTTATTAGAAACTTCTACTAGAATTCAATTATTTCAATACAAAAAAAAATTATTGAATAATTGCATGGTCCTTAAAATTATTGAATTCTCATAAAGCTAATTTTATCAAATAATTTTTAAATAATTGAATTCTTTTGACGATTTTTAATAAAATTTTTAGGAAGAATTACATTTTTCGAGGAGTTTGATAAAAATTGTATTAAAAATAATTTAAATTCTACAATGAGTTTTATTATTTGTGAAAATAATTGAATTCGTGTGAAATTTTTATTATTTTACGAAAATAATTAAAGAATTGCGTAGATATTATTAAATTTTTTTTAAATAATTGAATTTAATTATTTATAAAGATAATTGAAACTTTGACGAAAATTTAAAAAAATTTGTTATAAATTCTCCAAAATTTAATTTTTTTTAGTGTTTTTAACTAAAATTCTTCTTTAAATCTATTATTATTAATAATTTTTGAAAAAGTTCTTTAAAAATTTTCAAATTGAATCGTTTATAATTCAATTTTACAAAATTTTAATTATTCGGAAATTTTCTTCAATTAAATATAAGTTAGAAATATAAAAACTTTGAATTGAACTTTTTCAAAAAATTAATTTCAAAATTCAATTATTTCTAAAAATTCATGCTACATTGCTTTTAATATTCAATTATTATCTAAAATTTATATTGAAATTCATTTTTAAATCAATTTTTATTAGAAAATTGTACGAAAATTTCAATTATATTTATATACAAAAAAAAATTATTTATTGAATAATTATTGAATGTTTCTTAAAATTCAATCCCCATAAAGAATTTTATCAACAAATTTCTAAATAATTGAATTCTTTTGACGAATTTAATTAAAATTTTTAATAATTACATTTTTCGAGGAATTCGATTAAAATTGTACCTATTATAGAAATAGGGGAGAGTAGGCTACATTGAACCAGGTTTTTTATAAAGTCCAAGAACTAATTAAATTTTTAATTTTGATCAGGTTTTTGTATGAAAATAAAACTGAAGTACTCCTTTAGTTAATACACACGTTACAAAGACAAATTATGATGATTAAATAATGAAATTTATATTTTTTCTAACCAGCTACACTTTTCTTATTTTGAAGATGTGTGTCTACATTGAACCACCTCTAATAAAACACTACAATTTACTTCGAAAATAATATTTCCACTTACACATTGTAAAAAAACTTATTTTCCACTCAAAAAAATAGAAAATTGTTGTTAAATAGTTATTATTTGTTAATATAGGAGATTAATATATTTCGATGTCAGGTTAGGTAGCAAAAGTGACAATTTAAGTTTATCATGTTGACAATTGTGATGAAAGCATGTCTTCCAGTATTTTTTTTACTATGTTCGAGCCTTGTAAACACATAAAAAGTTTCAGAATGACATTAACAGGAAAAGTGGTTAATTTAAATCTCTATCCCTCAAAAACTAATTTGTTTTTTTCTATCGTGCTCACTGCTCTCTGAAATTGTGACAAAACTTTCAAATTACTTCCTCATAGAGGAAGTATTTTTAATTATTATTATTATTATTATCATCACTTATACTCAATTATAAATTATAAAACGATGAACATATCGTTATTTGATTGCTATTCCAACGGTAACATTATACTGCATTTTGAATTAAAAATGAAAAGTTTTCAGAATAATTTCCGATTACAATCAATTCGCCGTGTTTTAAGTTAGATTTAAGATTTTTTAAGAAAGTACCTATTTTGATGTTCTGCTGTGAAGTTGTGGACCAAAAGAACGTCTGCGTTGATTCTTATGGTTTGAATGAATGTTTTTGCTTCCTGCGCGATTGTTTCTAAAGTAGATCGGTCAGTATCAGACCATTTTGTTGGTAAGTATTGTTAACAATGTTATTCTGAATGAGAGCTTCCTCTATTTCAATACCAATTTCATCAACGCCAGGACAAAAATTGCATTTCGTTAAATAAGTGACAATCATTGGTGAGTTTGTCACAAATCCTAGAATTGCAAATTTTCTCATAAGTTGTTACAGAAAATATAATTTTTTCCCTAAAATTTAAAGTAGAATTAAATTGAAGTTTAATTAAAAACATAATTTCTTTACCAATATCACCTACAAATTCTTGATGATCCACTGTACTTGTTAAAAGTGATGATCTAGTATCAGTTTCGGGAAAATGCTCAATCGGAATAACATTATTATTTTGATTAAAAATTAAATTATCGTCAACTGTTTCATTACTCACGAATGAATTTCCCGATGGTTTCTTTCCTTTCGACAACAATAACTTGCAGGACATGCAAATATATTCGCCTAAGCCTGGAAGCTTTTCCTTCAATGATGGATACGTCTTGGAAACATTTTTTAAATAAAATTTATGTTGTGTTAAATTGAAGGGATTGCAACAGAATTTTTTTCTCGGCATTATTATAACTATATCCACTACATGCAACCAAACAATCTCTTTGGAACACTACGAACAATTTCACTCAACAATTTTAAACAAGTTGTTTTTCCCTCAAGCGCCAGAGTAGAAGTGACCAAAATCTATAAGTAGAATAAGGTTTTTCATTCAAAATTTTCATTGAAAGTGAAGTTTCCTTGTATTGGTACAATAAATTGTAGTGGGGGACACTATTAATGACCTGCGAAAATGATATGACAGTAGAACGAAACAAAAGAAACCCTTCACAGCGGGCGATCTGTCATTGTTTGCAATATGGGGCATTATTTCTCAAATGTCCCAGCCAAAAATTTAAAGTCTTGGGATTGGCTTCATACTTTGGGAAATTGTTGTCCTGTATGAAAGTAATAAATTTGTAAAATATTAGCTCTTTTAAAACGAAATTGTAAAAATTAAAAAAAAATGTTTTTAAATCAATCGGATTTACTTCCCACACAGCACCGAAACTTTCCTAAAAATTCATTAAAGATTTACTTGCAAACTTCGAAGTATTTACTTGAAAAGATTAGTGAAAATTTTGTAAAGATTTAAATGTCCCACTTCAATAAATGTTTAGCGTGCAACTTTCCTGAAAATTTAAAAAAAAATTTCGCCTACTGTATATAGGCGAAAATTTAATTTAAATTTTCAGGAAAGTTTTAAGCTACATTTTCGCTTATAAGAGAGAAGTCGAAAATTTAATTTAAATGTTCAGGAAAGTTTTAAGTTAAATTTTTAGAAAAATTTGACTATAAACATTTATTTAAGTGGGACATTTGAATCTTTACACAATTTCCACTAAACTTTGCAAGTAAATTTTTCGAAGTTTGCAAGTAAATCTTTAATATATTTTCAGGAAAGTTTTGGTGCTGTGTGGGTTAAAAATTATTGTTTCTAGTGGGTTTTGGGGTCACTGATTACGAATATATTGGCAGTTAATAAAAATACAAAATGGCCGATCAAGTATGAAGGACGATTCTTTAAAAATAAGTTAATTTTTGAATATCTAGATGTTCAAAAATCATAACAGGCTTCGGATATTATAATTTTTTTTTTTACTTTTTCGACTATTTTTAGTATAAAATGCTGCAACTTTTTTCAATTTTTACGCGCAGTATAAAAAATAACTGTAGATAAATCTTTTGAAAATTTTTTCTAATTCAATTTTTGAAATATAAAATTAAAAAGATTTTGAATAATTGAAATTTAGCAAAATTAATTGAAAATAAATCCTATTTTTCAAGTATTTTATTACAATTTTTGACAATTAACTATTATAGAATTTTTATTGAAAATTTTGGAAATAATTTAATTTTTTTAAATTTTAATGAATAATCTTCAAGTGTAAATTCGATAAAAAATGAAAATATTAAAATAGTTTTGAAAAAAGTAATTCTCTGACAAAGTAGTTGAAAATTTTTTTAAATTTACTATTTTAGAATTTTTGAGAAATTATTTATAATTAAAATTCATCAAAAATTTAATTATTTTTTGAATAATATTTTTTAAAAACTCAATTATTTATTTGTTTAATAAATTTTTTTGCAAAATTTAATTATTTTAGGGAATTTTATTAAAATTCGTTGCAAATTTCAATTATTTTCATGAATTTTAATAAAATTTATGTCTAAATTCCATTTTTTAGGGATTTTAATAAAATTTTTGTCTAAATTCAATTTTCAGGAATTTTTATAAAAATTTATTGTAAAATTCAATTATTTTCATGAATTTTAATAAAACTCTTTTTGCAAAATTCAATAATTTTTTTCTGGAATTTTATTAAAATTCTAATTTATCTATAATTTTAATAAAACTCTTTGCAAAATTCAATTATTTTCAGAAATTTTATTAAAATTTTTGTCTAAATTCAATTTTCAGGAATTTTATTAAAATTCGTTGCAAAATTCAATTATTTTCATGAATTTTAATTATTTTTTAAAGATTTTACTAAATTTAAATTATTTTTTAAAAAAATTTTACCAAATTTTAACTTTTTAAAAACATTTCTTAATTGGTATGTAATTGTAAAACTATTGCGTCTTTAAAAAATTATTTAGAAATATTTTTAAAAAGTTTTTTTTACGAATTTGTTTATTAAAATTTTTGAATATATTCTACCTTAATATCTTTAAAAAGAAAAATAAACGACTCAAAAAACCCCCTAGAAACAACTTTTAAGTGTATCCGATTAATTTTTTAAAAAATCCTCCTTTATATTGGATCGGCCATTCGCCATTTTGTATTTTTAAAAACTGACAACATATTCGTATTCAGCGACCCAAACAACCCCCTAGAAATAATTTCCAAATGTATCAGATTGATTTAACAAAAATCGTCCTCCATATTGGATCGGCCATTTTGTATTTTGAAAAACTGACTGTATATTCGTAATCCGCGACCCAAAAACCCCCTGGAAACAACTTTCAAATGTATCACACGTTGGAATTTCAGGCGACGAAATAATTGATGGTTTGGCTGAAACGGCAGCAGCAATGAACATGGATTTAAACATTCAAGACATTGAAATAACAATCAAACATAACTCAAGAATAAATTAATTAAAAACCAATGTTTATTTTACCACAATTTCCACAAATAAAGATAATGTTTCTGATGTACAACTATCAACAACAAAATGTTTAAACAACTGTATTGATTTTCTTTTAATTTCTATTTAGTTATTGAATAAAAATATGACATACATTTAACAAGTTTATGTACACTTAAATTAATAAAGATTTATAATTTCTTTTACTTATTTCTTGTAATGAATTATTTACTTATTATTTAATATATTGAGTAATATTAAAACAAATTACAGATCATTTCTCAGCACATGAAATGAGACGCGAAAAATTATAAATTTCCTCGCTTTTCTTGTTCCAATTCAATTGCTTCAAATAATGCTTGGAAGTTTCCAGCTCCAAAGCCCTATATTAGAATCAGAAAAGAATAATAAACATTTTTATCAAATTTCAAACATTAAACACAAAGTTATTTTCCAGAATTCTAAATCACTTACATTATGATTATGTCTCTGAATAACTTCTATAAATAGTGTTGGTCTATCCTGCATGTTCTTGGTGAAAATTTGTAGCAAATAACCATTTTCATCATAGTCAACTAAAATTTTTAGTTTCTGTAAAATGAAGAAGAATATTAATAATAGTATATTTTGTGTTTAACGATTAGCGTATTAAAGTATTTTTTTAATTATCTATAATACCTGTAAAGTATTCAGATCTTCTGTTATTTCCGTCGCAGAATCTTGGAGACGACTTCTCAGCAAATCATAGTACGTGTCAGGAACAGTCAGAAATTCCATTCCTCTTTTCCGTAAGTTCTCAATCTAGTAAAACAGTTTTTTTATTTAGATAAAGTTTTGAGATTGATATAACAACAAATTCATTTTTTTAAAGTACTATTATAATTAATATATGTTTTACGTTAAAACATTTTTAATATGTGATCGAAAGTTTCTTTCAACCTTTCAGATAAATTCATTTGTAAAATTGTACTATCAAATTATTTTATTTTACTTTATTTGAACAAATAAAAGTATAAAAAAAATTTCTTAGACTTAAATAATTCAGGGTTGACACGCTTTTGCTCATTTCAAATTCCCTGACTTTTCCAGGTTTTCCAGGTTAAAAAACGGAATTTTTCCATGTTTTTAAAACTACATTTGTTGCCAAGAAAAATATATTTTTTTCCCTGACATTCCTTTGAATTTCAGACAAAATTCTTACTTTTCCTTCACTCTAAAGAATATTCTGATTCAGTTTAAAAATTATTACTCAGAAAAATGAATATTTTTCTTCTTCTTTTTTAGATAAATATAATATTTAATGATTATTATTTTTCTATAGGAAATTGAAATTTTACAAAAATTTCAAATTCAAAGCTTTTTAAAATTAAACAATTTAAAAAAAAATTGTTATAAAACATGAAGAAATCGATCACTCCGAGTCTTCGACTCGGAGCAATCGATATCTTCATGTTTTATAATAATTAATTAATTATTAAAGATGACCAACTGATAAAATAATTATTTTATATTATAAGAATATTGTTACTGTAATTTCAAAAACATTATTTTTATCATTTCAATTTAATTATTTTTTACAATTTTTAACTAAAATTCTTCTTTAAATTAATTATTCATTCATTTTTAATAATTTTTGAAAAATTTCTTTGAAAATTTCCAAATTCTTTTGTTTACAATTCAATTTTACAATTTTTAATTTTTTACAATTTTTTTTTACAATTTTCAGTTTTTAATCAAATTCACGCTATAATACTTTCTCTTTTAATTAGAATTAATAAAATTGTTTACTAATTGGAATTAGTGACTGAATTTTTACTTTTGAATTATAGTAGGGGAGAGTAGGCTACATTGAACCAGCGTCAACAGTGAACCACTTCAATTTTCTGAGAAATGACTGAGTGAAATTTTTTCTTATTTAATATATAAGTTAGTTTTACTGAAACAAACTATGTCCAAAAATTTCGGGCACGTAGGTTTATTATTTATGAAGAAAAACTAAAAAAAAAACGGTTTTTCACGTACAAAACAAAAAATGTTGTGGAAATATAATGACGTTTTTTTATTGAAATAGGAAGTTTTAAAAATTAGTAAACTTGCGATTTATTTCGCTTAGGGTGGCAACTTCAATATTCCGATGTGATAAAGAACTTTAACTCTTACATAAATTTATTATAAACAATTTTTGTTGTGAATGTCATGTGAATACAGTGAGTGCGGCATCATTGAACCACCCGAAAAAGCAAAGAATTTTCAATTTTAAGAGTTGTAAAATTGTCTGCTCTACTAATTAGTAAGAAAAATACTGGAAGACATGCTTTCATCACAATTGTGAACGAGATAAACTCAAACTGTCACTTTACCTACCTAACCTGACATTAAAATACATTAATCTCCTATATTAACAAGTAATAACAATTAAATAACAATTTTCTATTTTTTTGAGTTGAAAATAAGATTTTTTACAATGTGTAAGTGGAAATATTATTTTTGAAGTAAATTGTAGTGTTTTATTAGAGGTGGTTCAATGTAGACACACTTCCTTCAAAATAAGAAAAGTGTGACTTGTTAGAAAAAAATTAAATTTAATTATTTAATCATAATAATTTGTGTTTGTAACGTGTGTATTAACTAAAGGAGTACTTCAGCTTAATTTTGATACAAAAACCTGATCGAAATTAGTAAAATTTAATTAGTTCTTGGACTTTATAAAATACCCGGTTCAATGTAGCCTACCCTCCCCTAAATTTTACTATTAAATTAGTAAAAACGAATATTTATTAGTAAAATCTGCTAATTCAAAAGCAAAAAGTCAGTCACTAATTCAAATTCCAAACCATTTTTACTAATTCAAATTTAGAGAGTTTAATATTCAATTATTATTTAAAATTAAAAATTTTAAATTTGATTGAATTGAAAAAAGTTTTTGAAAATAATTGAAATTTTGACAGGAATATTATTAACCCGGCGAGTATGTGGTTGGGCATGTCATGCCCCACATTTACTTAAATCCTTTTAAATCCTAAAATTTCCACTGTAACGTTTTGAAACTTCGAGTAGCTGAAGTTATGGGTTCATAAGAGAAGATGATGGTATGGTGATAGTGTTATGTAAATTATATTTTAAATTACTTGGACGTAAACGTCAATTTTGCATATTTTTGGCGAATTTTTTCTCCTAATTTCTACTAAATTAATGACAACTGAATTGAGATATATTCTAAAAAGCAGTATTATGCTCCTCATTCACTAATATTTAAAGTCCTGCCTTTATAAAAGTGCAAATTTGATTTTATAAAAGTTTTAAGTTTTCATTGTTTTATTTAATCATATGATAAATCTTATGACAAAGAGTTGATTTTATCTTTATAAATAAATAAATAATTAAGGAAATATATTTTATTACATGCCTTTTTATAATATAATACCAGAAATTAACTTAATATAGCTATATGTAACATTTATAAGCAATTTTACATTTTGGGCATGTCATGCCCACCACAAAGTCGGTGTAACAGTTTCCCGCCACATACTCGCCGGGTTAAATTTTTTGAAAATAATTGAATTTTGAAGAAGAATTTTATTATTTATAAAGATAATTGAAATGCTAACGAGAATTTTTTTTTAAACTTTTGACCATAATTGAATTTCTGCGAAGAATGAATTTTATTACTTTTGAAAATAATTGAATAATCTTGAGACGAATTTTAATAATATATTTCTTTTTAAATAATTGAATTCTTTTGTGAAATTTTATTGAAATAGTAGATATTTAAAATAATTGAATTTTTATATATTAATGGGGCCGTCCATAAACCACGTAGCCCCATTTTTTGGGAATTTTGACCCCCCCCCCTCCCCCCATGTAGTACGCTATTACATGTATTAGCGCCATTTTTTCCTCTTGTCGTAGTCAATTGCTTGACCCCCCCCTCCCCCTCAAGAGGCTACGTGGTTTATGGATGGCCCCTTATTGAAATTAATTTAATTTGTACGAAGAGTTTTATTAAAATTATTTTGAAAAAAATTGAATTGGCAAAAAGAATTTCATTAGAATTTTTGAAAATAATTTAATTCTTTTAAGAAATTTAATTAAAAATCTATTGGCAATAATACTCAAATTCTAATAAATAAATTATAGGAAAGGCTTTTTAAAATAATTGAATGTCTTTCATGAATTTTAATAAAATTTTTAAGAATAATTACATTTTTCGAGAAATTTCATTAAAATTGTATTAAAAATAATTGAAATTCAGCGATGAGTTTTATTATTTATGAAAATAATTGAAAACCTATAAAGAATTGTATTATTCATGAAAATAATTAAATCCTTGTAAAAATTTTATCATTTATGAAAATAATTGAATTATTGGGAAGAAATTTATAAAAAAATTGTAAATAATAGAATTGCTGTGAAATTTTCATTATTTAAATCATTCATTAAAAATTGAAATTTTCTAAAATTTCAAATTAAAATCTTTTGAAGTTCATCTATTTATGAAAATTGTAAACGCAATTCTTTCAAAAATTCAATTAATTTTGAAATATTTAAGTAAAATTAGATTTCAAGAACAAACACAATAACTTTAGAAAAGAATAATTTTCCAGGATTCCGATCAAAATTTCCTGACTTTTCCAGGTTTTTTCAAGGTTTATAAAAGTCCCTGACATTTACAGGTTTTCCAGGTTTCCAGGTTGCGTTTTGAGTTTTGAGTATTTTTCAATCATAAATGTACTTACAGCAGTGACAATGTCATTCGTGTTGAGAGCTATATGTTGAACTCCTGGACCCCCATAATATTCAACATATTCTTGAATTTGAGAACGCTTTTTACCAGGCGCCGGTTCATTAATAGGCAATTTGATTGTTTCTTCCCAATTTGTCATAACAATAGAACGTAATGCTGAATATTCAGTGTGCAACTGAGAATCATCAACAGACCAAAATCTATGGAATTGCAAACATTTTTCGTACCTGCAAAAAATTACAGAATATTAATTTTGAGCATAACTTGTAAATCAGTACTATCTTTTTCGTAGTAGGTATATTTTATATTAGTTTATATTAGTTTAACAGTTTTTTTGAACTATACTACATTCGCTAATTTTTACGTACCAGTCAGCAACAGGCTCCATTCCCTTATCAGGTTGATTGCCAACAATATGGTCTATGAATTGCAAGTTGATTGGAGGCCTGTGAAGTAATAAATAAGAAATGAATTATCATTTTTAATAGGGTAAATGTGCCAAAATTTTTTATTGTCTTTAAAATTATAAATAAAGAAAAAAAAATTCTTTAAACAAATTTAAAAAAATATTTTAAATTTTTTTCTTCACGTTTTCGACCTAATGTCCTAATTCTATGTGAAAGCACATATGACATTGGCACAGGATTTGAAGTAAGAATTCATAGGAATTTGAGTTTGTGTATCTGCATAAAAATCTTTGTGTATTACTATGTGGAAACATAAAAAAGATTTTATATTACTTACAAGATTTCCGCTAGTTCATCACTGGCTGTTTCTCTTCTATATCCCGGTAAAAAGAATCCTTTATAATTTGTCCTATCAATGAATGTATGTAGAGTGTCTCCATACTAACATAAAAAATAATACCATAATTATTTTAACAAACATTAATTCATAAACAATTAGAATGTTGAAGAAAATTAAAAATAATCACTTGTTAAAAAATGTTATGAAAAATTAAAATTCGGATAGAAAAGAAATAAGAATAGAAGAATCGACAGTGATGGTTGTTAGAAAATATTTAAAAACTGTATATTTTTAAAGACGTACGACTTGAATAGTTGCAAGCAATACTGTTCCATATTCGTCCTTTTCTTCATGTATATCTTGTACAATTTTAGCACCCTTTTGCTTTGCAACCTGTAAAATGGAGTGTAATAATTTTAAGTAAATAAATCAGAGTTATTTTTTTATGATTTTATTAATTTAAGATATAACATTTTTTCAACACCATAATTAATTTGAAGCACGATTCAGAATTTAATTGAAGAGAACGACTTAAATCAAAATATAATTATTATGTTAGTCATTTTTACCTTTATGATTGCATGAATGTCTTCTACTCTGAAAGCTACATCTTTTACACCATCGCCGTGCTGAGAAAGATGTAATGACATTTCTTCATGGTCGGGTTCGTAAGGAGATTCAAATACGAATGTAATCTGAAAAATAATAAAACTCATTTTTTATTTAATGTAAAGACTAAATTTAATTTTTTAAAATAACCATAATAATATTGCATAATATCAAAAAGATATAACAGTACACCCTAAAAGAAAAAAAGTTTTTTTTTTAATACAACTAGCTCCTCCGACGGCCGTCTACGGTGCTAGTTTTTATATGTCCATTGTCCAAGTCCATTATTTCATTAATAATAATATTAATTATAATATTCAAATTTTTTCAGTTAATAATTTGCTTATTTATATTTGAAATGTTGACGTTTTTTTTGACAATGCAAAATAAGATTTATTATGAGTACTTTCTCTTAACAAAAATAAAATTTATATACTCGCGCTCTTTTTAAATAACATACGACTGCAGCGCCACGATTACATGTCCAAACAATTTTGAAAACACCCTTCTATTAAGATTTTACATTCTCATTGCCCATTCTTTATTTCGATACTTTTCGATACATTCGACCTTTCCACTCCATGTCTTTTTTAAGAAAGGATTAAGAAAGGATTTTCTTAATAATAAAAAGAGATGTATAAATGAAACTTTGCACATATATTTTTGCAACATAATATTTTACAAAAATGTTTTTTTGTATTTTCTGCAAAGTTTCTGTATCTCTTTTTATTCTTAAAAAAGATTTGAATTTGAAAATTTTCTTTTTTTAGGGTGTACTATCCCTTAAATAACATTAGGTTAAAAATATTTTTTATTATTATAGAAAAAGTTAAATATTTTCAAATTTTTAATTTGGTTCGGAATGTGACGCTCCACGTTGAAAGGGTCCTTACGTGCCAAAAAATTAATTTTGAGACATTTATATCATTTTATATTTTTTGAGTTGCTCCTTTATATACAAAATTGAAAAATAATTTTTACGTTTATAAATTTTTATTAACTTTTAATCGTGAGCATATGTTGAACATGCTACGTATTTACAAGTTCAGAAAAAGCAGCCCCTCTACTTTTTACTATTTCTATAACGGCTATGTACGTACGATTCGCGCGCCTCAAGGACAAATAGTTTTGAAACATACATATAATCGAATTGTTACTTTCACGCGATGTATTAATTAATACAACTATTTTTGATGGGAGGCATGAATATTCTCCAAATAACAAACAGCCGAAATGTCATTTAAACAGAAAAGTATAACACAGAATTGAAATTTAACAGAATCGTCATGTAACTGATTGTTAGGATAAGTATTATACTATACTTGGCAGCTATAATAAATTTTGATATTTTAGGGTATGCTGTGCAAGTTGTTTTTTGACATTGTAGAGAATTGCTGTTTATATGCTGAATGTCTCGAAAATAATAACAACATCATTTTTAAATAAATATTTAATCATTATTATTATTCCACTGGAATTAAGATCTTAAAAAATTTCAAATTCAAACCTTTTTGAAATTCAACAACTCATAAGAAAATTTATTATAAATTTATAAAACATGAAGAAATCGATCACTCCGAGTCTTCAACTCAGAGTGATGCATTTATTTATGTTTTATAATATAATTAAAGTTGACCGAGTGATAAAATAATTATTTTATATTATAAGAATATTGTTACTGTAACTTCTTCAAAATTATTTTCATCATTTCAATTCAATTGACATTTTCTAGAATGTTTAACTAAAATTCTTCTTTAAATCAATTATTTTTAATAATTTTTGAAGAAATTCTTTGAGAATTTTCAAATCTATCTGTTCACAATTCAATTTTACGAAATTTGGATTATTTAAAAATTCTTCAGTTAAATATATTATACTGAAATAATTTTAACAAAAAAATTCATATATTGCATATATATTTTAATAAAAAATTGGATTCCTATTTTCGGGAACATAGTCATTCGGGAAAGAGTATTCGGGTTTTTAGATTTTCGGGATATTCACCATTCGGGAGATTGGTTTCGGGAAATTGACCGGGAACGAAATTCAATTATTTAAATACAAAAATAAACAATTTATTCACTAATTGAATGTTTCTTAAAATTTCATTTTTACGTAGAATTTTATTAACAACTTTTGAAAATAATTGAAAACTTTTTGAAGAATCGGTATTGTTAAAATTTTAAAAAATAATAACTGAATTCCTGAGAAGAATTTAAGTAATAATTTATGAAAATAATTAAATTCATGCGAAGAATTTTATTAAATTTTGTTAAAATAATTAAAATTTTGCCAAGAATTTTATTAAAATTTTTGTCAATATTTTAATTCTTGACGAAAATTTTAAAAAAAATTTGAAAATAATTTAATTTCTGGAAAGTATTTGATTACTTTTCAAAAGAATTGAATTCTTGTGATCAATTTTGACATTTATCAAAATAATTGAATTTTGGAAAAGAATTTAATTAAAATTCCTTAGAATAATTAATTTTATGGGGAGAATTTTGTTGTTTATCAAGCATATTGAATTCTTTTGCAGAATTACTTAAAATTTTTTGAGAATAATATTTTTTCAGTGACAAATTAAAAGTTATTTATGAAAATATTTGAATTATTGCCCCAAATTTTATTATTTTATTGAATAATTTAATATTTTTTAAAATTGAATTCTTACGTCAAGTTTTAATAAAATTTTTAATAAATGCATTTTTCGAGGAATTTATTTAAAATTATATTAAAAATATTTTATAATTCTGCGATGAAAATAAATGAATAATTCTAAATGAAATTTTATTATTTATGAAAATAATTGAATATTTTCGTAGAATTGTAACAGAACCTTCTTGACGAGGTTTTCGTTAAAATTTTTAAATATAATTGAATGTCTTTGAAGAATTTTATTATTTTTGAAAAGAATTGAATTTCTGTGAAGAATTTTGTTATTTATCAAGATAATTGCTTTAAAACTTTTGTAATAATTAAATAATATTAAAAAATTCATTCCTGTCAGAAATAGAAAATTTTTTTTAAGGTTTTGTATTAGAATTCGTGGTAATATCTTAGTTTACGAGGCAAACAAAAAAGACACCAAAAATTAAGAATTTTCTTATGAATTCGTATTTGAATATATACGTACTTCATTTTGCCTTATTACGTGGGCTGCCGAGATCCTCGATCCAGTCTCCAAACCACGATAAGCCAAAGGTTGGAATCCAAGCCTGGTACAATAGAAACTGGAAGCCTAAATAGTTTTGCATTTTCAGTAAACAAACTTTATGGGAACTTTACTTATTTTTTATGTAAAAATAAAAATTTGTAGGTTTATTAATTATTAACATTTTTTCGAAATTCCATAAATTTTCATAAATATAATTCTTGAAAGTGTGACTCATGAAAATAAAAAAATTTTCATTATATTGACTTTTGTTATTTAGCTTTCATTTTCGAAAAATTGTATAAAATAAACATTATAACTATACCGAGAATGCCCTAGTTTCTGTCCATTTTTTAAGATTTCTTTTATAATAATTTTAATTAATTTTTGAAAATAGTTTAATATTATTCTCTTAGAGTGTAATTTTTATTTAGTTCACTTATACACAGATTTAAGGAAATAATTTTTTTATAATTGCTATTGTTAAAATAAAAGTGGACAGAAACTGGGATATCCACGGTATAAATAATATAAATTAATTATTTTATAAAATAAATAAAATAATAATATAAATAATATAAAATAATTCAAAAAAAGAAAATTCATATTTGAAAAATTAATATTTTATTTATATGAATGTCAATAGAAAAATAACATAAAATATTTCAATGATGAAAAATGAGAAAATTATTATTGAATACATTTACTTACTTGCAATGCATTTCCAACCCAGAATTTTATATGATCAAAGCAGAGAAATTTTCCACTTTTTGGCTGAAAGCATTTATTTAATATAAAAAATTATTTTTACTCAATAATGCTATTTTTTATAAGAAAGATCCACTTTTAACATATATACTATCTTTTTAACATGCAAATATTAATTACGGAAAAATTATTTGATAATAATCAATAACTTCAGTACTTTTCTCTAATGTTAAAAGTGAATGAAAAATAGAAATAAATACCTTCGGTCCTTTGTCAGTATATGTAGTCTGAAAAAATAAAAAATTATTATTAATGTAATTAACATACAAAATATAAATGTAATACAGGGTGTCTACTAATTTCGTTCAACAAAATTCCCGGTTTTTTTTTTCTAATTTTTCCCGGTTTTTTTATCTCATCAAATTTAAATTTATTTGATTTCGAACATAAATAAAGCTACAAATGGCTTCAAAAATTTTTACCAGAGTTTTTATGAATAATTAAATTCTTTTGGCGAGTTTCTTTAAATTTTTTGAAAATAATATTTTTTTTAATAATTTTAATTAGAAATTTGGAAAATAATTGAATTAAACAAATAATTTTTTCAATTTTTTAAAATAATCTTGTCTGTTTATAATTATAATTGAAAATTTGATTAATTCCATTTTATTAAAATGTATTGATACTAATTGAATTTTTGCAAAGAATTTTACTATTTTTAAATGTAATCGAATCGAATGTTATTATTTATGAAAATAATTAAATGTTTGCGTAGAATTTTATTAAAATTTTCAAAAATGATTCAATTGTGGAGAACAGTTTAATAATTTATAAAGATAATTGAATTTCTGCGAAGAATTTTATTACTTTTGAAAATAATTGAATTGTTTTTTAGAATTTTATGGATATTTATAAAAATAATTGAATTCTTGTGAAGAATTTTTTTTTTTGAAAATAATATTCAAAAGAATTTAGCAAATTTGAAGAATTTTGCTATTTATGGAAGTAGGTAATTGAATTCTTGAGAAGAATTTTTTTACAGTTTCTAGAAATAATTGAATTCTTTCGACGAATTTTAATAAAATTTTTAAGAATAATTACATTTTTCAAAGAATTTGATTAAAATTGTATTAAAAATAATTGCAATTTTGTAATTAGTTTTACTATTAATGAATATAATTGAATATATTGCGAAGAAATTTTTAAAAATAAAACTACAATTACAATGACAAACTTCCCTTGATTATTTTCGAAAAATTGAAATAAAATTGTTTAAAAGAATTTAATTATTTTTAATAGAATGTAAAGAAATTTTAATTATTTCAAAAGTTTTCAATTATTTGTTTATAAAAATTCAATTATCTTGAAACAATAGAATTGGAAAATTGTAAGTGTGTATCTTTTTTTAATTTAATTAATAAAAATTTTAATTATTAATCTTCGCATTCAGAAACATGAATACATTAGGATGTGACACTTTATAAAATTCAATTATTTATCAATTTATTAATAAATTAAAATACTTTGAAAATTCGATTTGTTGAAAAGTTTTTAATGAAATTCTTTAACAAATTCAATTATTTTCAGTTGAATTTTACAAAATTTCTATTAATACGATCATTTTTTTAAATTTATTTATTAACTGTATTTGAATCAGTGACTGATTTTTTACTATCAAATTATTTCTAACTAATAGAAATTTAGAGAACAGTATAAATATCTATAAAAATTGAAATAAAAAGCGATTTTTTAAAAACAAATTAAAATAATAAAACTTTTTTTAATTTTGTGAAAAAATTCCCGGTTTAGCATAAAATTCCTGAATAGGGTCAAAAAATATTATAAAATTGAAATATTGCCCGAATTTTTTTAAAAATGTTTCATATCTTACCATGTTCAAGTATTTAATTAAAAAAAATAAAAAATAAGCCTTAGTTTCGTGTTAGTTTAACAATAAAATTATTTCAATTTCTCTCAACAATGTTGACTTCAAAGCAAACGAAATCTAATTGTTTTTGTCTAGAAACTGAATGTTCTTTAAATAAGAGGCACATCAAAAACATCCTGATTCTGATTGGTCGATCTCGGAGGTTTGTTTATCTGAATTCCATTTGAAGATGATAAATAAATTAATTATAACGCAATAATAAACCTGTAATACCGGTTGATGAAGAGAAAACCACGACGTAAACGAATGATATTTACGTGACATAAAGTTTCTGGGGGCTCGTCTCTAAAGTTATTCCAAAAGAATGCAGAATATATTTATTCTCATATATACATATTTTCATAGAAATAAAATTCATAAAAGAAAATATTTTTAAATTCTACTATTGCAAAATGCAAATCTATTTACCTGCTTATTTATTTTTCTTATAATAATAAACTTAGAGTAAAATCAAATAAATTTATTAATTTTAACTTTAAGTAAACAATTTTAAAGTCACTATTTAAAGTCACTCTAATATTAATTCTGGATGAGTGTATATTCAATTATTTTCCTTATTGATTGTCATTTGTGATATGTAAATTTTTTTTATAATTTCCATATTGAAGGTTCATGGAAACAGAAAATATTTTTGTTTACGTTTTCTTGAAATGATTATAAACAACACCGGCCTATTTTTTTAAATTAATTTCTGCCTTTCAGGAAATAAGGAATATTTCCAGGGTTGCCACGCTTTTGCTCTTTTCAAATTCCCTGACTTTTCCAAATTTTCCAGGTTAAAAAACGGAATATTTCCAGGTATATAAAACGAAAATTATTCGAACATATCAATAACTTCGTTTTTAAATAAATATTTAATCATTATTATTTTTTCATAGAAATTAAGATTTTCAAAAATTTTAAATTCAATAACATATATAGGTATTCATATTATTATAAAACTTTCTACTTTGTTACTGTAACTTCTTCAAAAATTATTTTCATCATTACGATTATTCATTTCTAGAATTTTCCACTAAAATTCTTCTTTAAGTCAATTTTTGAAAAAATAATTTTTGAAAAAGTTCTTTGAGAAATTCATTTGTTTACAATTCAATTTTACAAAATTTAAATTATTCGTAAATTTTTCAGTTAAATATATATTAGAAATTAAAAACTTGAAATAATTAAAAAAAATTTCGTTAAACTTTTTGAAAAAATTAATTCTACAGAATTGTTAATTAAAAGTATGAAAAATTCAAATTTTCAAAAATTTTAATTTGAAACCTTTTAAAACTTCAATTATTTCTAAAAATCCACGCTTTAATGCTTTCAATATTCAATTATAATATAAAATTTTAACTGAAATTCATTTTTAAATCAATATTTATTAGATAATTCTATGAGCATTCAATTATCTACAAAAAAAAACATTTTATTAAATAATTGAATGTTTTTTAAAATTGAATTTTCATAAAGAATTTTATCAACAAATTTTTAAATAATTCAATTCTCTTGACATATTTTTAAAAGAATTTAAGAATAATTTCATTTATCGAGAAATTTGATGAAAATTGTATTAAAAATAAATTTAATTCTGCTAAGAATTTTATTAAAATTTTTTAAAATAATTGAATTTCGGAGAAAAATTTAATTATTTAGGTATATAAATAATTGAAATTTTGACTAGAATTTTTTTTGAATTTTTGAAATTTTTTATTACTTTTGAAAATAATTGAATTCCTGCAATAATCTGTAACTTCTCCAAAATTCAATTTTTTTTTTAGTGTTTTTTACTAAAATTCTTCTATAAATCCATTATTTTGAATAATTTTTGAAAAAGTTCTTTGAGAATTTTCAAATTCATTTGTTTATAATTTAAGTTTACAAAATTTCAATTATTAGGAAATTCTTCAATTAATTATATGTTAGAAAATAAAAATCTTAAATAATTTAAAAAAAATCTACAATTAAACTTATTCAAAAAAATTTATTGCACAGAATTGTTAGTTAAAAATTTGAAAAATTCAAATTTTTAAAGATTTTAATTTGAAACCTTTTCAAAATTTAATTATTTCTAAAATTTTTACTGAAATTTATTTTTAAATCAATTTTTAATAGAAAACTCTACGAGACTTCAATTATTTAAATACAAAAATAAATAATTTATTGAATAATTTTGAATGTTTCTCAAAATTGAATTCTTAAAAAGAAATTTATCAACAAATTTTTAAATAATTGAATTCTTTCGACGAATTTAAATAAAATTTTTAATAATTCCATTTTTTGCAAAATCCGATTAAAATTGTATTAAAAATAATTGAAATCCTGCGATGAGTTTTATTATGTATTAATGAAAATAATTGAATCCCTGAAAAAATGTTATTATTTATGAAAATAATTGATTAATAATTTGTAAACTATTGAATTCTTGTGAAATTTTTATTATTTTTGAAAATAATAATGAAATGTTTGCGTAGAATTTTATTAAAATTTTTTTAACTATTGAATTCTTTTGGAAATTTTTGTTAAAGTAGTAGATATTAAAAATCATTAAATTGAAGAAAGTCTTTGAAAATAATTAAAATTTTGACAAAAATTTTTGAAAATAATTGAATTTCTGCAATCATTTGTAATTTTGCTTCAAATTTTCAAGTTTGACTTGCTTAAAGGCGATCAGCCGAGTGTTCGTTCTCTTATTGCATCGAAACCCTTAATTAAAATTTGAACAATTTTTGTTAATATAATAAAAAAGAATATAAATTCTAGAAAAATTATTCGGTTCTATATACATACCATCTTTGATTTTTTTCTTAAAAATAAAATAAACAAAAAAAACAAAGTCAAAAACTTTAAACTATTTACTATAAATTTATGAAGAATCAACTTCACATATTAAAGTTGCACTAGTGAAAATAATGAAAATGTGCATTATATATAGTAAATCGATACCAGAAAATGTTATACATCAATTTCCCAGTTCCTTAATGTTATTACATGTTTTTTGAAAACATGTAATTATCTTATCATTGAAACAGAACAAATTTAAATTAATATAATGATTAATATAATTATTACTATTATTAATGGGAAATACGTGTTTTTTTAAAACGTAAGAAAATTAATTGATTTCTAATTTTAACTGTTCTCAAAAAAGAACATACTTTAAAATGTCATTTAGAATATCAATTCAATGATAATGATTGAATATATTATAGTGATTTTAATGTAATATTATCACCTTCTGATTTCGGTGATTTTCGGAAAGTCGAGTTTTTAATTAACAACAAACTCAATAACATCCCCTATGCTGAATGAGTACAAATGGTATGATTTCAATTAAAAATTACACATTTCGATTTTACCGATCATCTCATACTTGGTCCTATCCAGAATTTAAAAGGTAAGAAAATTACACAAGGCAAGTTTTAAATAGTTATTTGCGCTTTTTATTGGAGGGATAAAATAAATTTAGTAAAATTTAACTTAATTCTATGTCTACCCAGATAGCACGTAACCTAATGGTAAACTTAAACTGAAAAAAGATTATTTGAAAAATATTTATTTGATTCAAATAATTTATTATTTTCGGTTTTCTTGGAAAGTAAATGGAAGTTACGGTTTTCAGTTTTTCAGGGTAGAATATTACTTTATTGGACATACCTTTTTACTATAAATGTGATCTCCATCGTGTAAAATAATAGGCAATTTCTTCACCTGCAACAGAGAAGTTAATTATAAAAATGTTAGATAAAACTGTTTGAAGGTTTGTGAAATTAATTTTTAAATACATTATAAAATAATTTTGGAAAAATTAATAATTCTTTAATTATGTACAATTAAAAATGTCCGAACAATTGAAATTTGGTAAAATCTTTTAAAAATAATTGAATTTCTGAAAAGAATTTTTGTATAATTTACTAATTAGTTTTTGGATGAATTTTAATTAAAAATTTTGAATATGATTTTTTTCTCCAAAATGTTAAAAATAATTCTAAAATGTTACTATTACTTTTTGTATGTATTTGAATTTTCGAAATTATGTAATTGAAAATACTGAAAGTAAAATACAGTAATTTTAAAAAATTAGAAACTAATTTTCATAATTATCATTAATTTTAATTTTTAAATTTACATCTAAAGATTTTTCATTAACTTTATAAAAATCAAAACAAGTTGCACTTTTTTTACTAAAAATTGTGGCACTTTGTTTCAATATTTGGAAAAAAAATCGAAAAAGTCGCAATTTTTGAAAATAAGTTGAAAAAAGTCTCAATTTTCTTAATTTCCCTAACAAAAAATTTTTTTCCTGACATGTCCCTGACTTTACTGTCAAAAATTTTTCTTCCCTGACTTTACTGACATGTGGCCACCCTGACCAACAAAGACGATCGCTTTTTTAGTTTAATTCGCTTTTAACAATTCACTTTTTAAGTGAATTTTATAATAATAAAAAACTTAATAATTTTTTTTACTGAAACTTATGTGAAAAGAAAAGTGGTTTCTTTTCAAACGGTCGTTCTTCTGATCGGAACGGTTTGAAGCAGAATGTTCCACCTATTCTAAATCTACGTATAGTAAATATTGTTTAAAATTGTTTTTATTAAATTAGCTTATGAACAATCTGTTGATATTCCTATCTTTTTAAATTCACCTCGCGGACATTTGTTTTTAATTTTTATTTTCTTATTCATTTGATAAATTCAAGGATAAAAAAAACTTAATAATTTTTAAAAAATAGGAAAAAAGATTTCAAATTTAGACTTAAATGTTTTTACATTAAGAAAAATATTAAAAATTTACTAGACCTTTTTATTCTTTTTAGAAGTCTTATTAGTTTTAAGATCAAGGTCCCTGCATGGAATCCAATCTGGATTTTTGATATCGCCTAAGTCAGCTGGACGTCCTAAAAAAATAAATTTACATTACACAAATTATTTTTAGAATTAGGGTAAGTGTGCCAATTATGGCGCGGTTCTGGTTTAGCCGTCTTTGAAATAGAAAATTCAAAAATTATAATGAAAGAAGTAAATTTATGGCTTATTAAACTAAAAGCCCGTGTCATATAGATAATAAAACTTTTATAAAAACTTTATAAAAATTAATTATTTAAACAAAATTAAAGCAATAAGAATTAGGATTAAAAACGTCAATTATGGCGCGGTTGAGTCAATTTCGGCGCGCCAATTACGGCGGGGAAAATAACGTGTATTTAGAGGTTGTGTTGCGCGCCATAACTGGAGCACGCACATTCAATGAAAATGTGCCAATTATGGCGGGGCACAATTTTTGTACTTAAATAATTAAACCAATAATAGTTCAAATGTGTTTTTTTTCGTACAATTATATCGAGTAAGGTCGAAAATAACTTTTTCTATCATTTTCAAATAACTATATTATTCTAAAATAGTACCTAAATAATTCTATTTTTTACAAAGTCGCCATAATTGGAGCACCCGCCACAATTGACACACTTACCCTATATTAAGAATTCTTTAATTTTATAACTGTACTTAATTTTCAATCGCGAACATTAACAGATTAGAACATATTTGTGTTTAAAAAATCAAACAAATAGAATTTTTCAATATTAAATCTTGTATTTATTTAAATTAAAAATTATAATTATTTAAAGTAAATAATGTAAAAAAATTAATAGATTTCATTATAATATATGAGAATAAATTTCTAAAAAATTATGAATTAAAAATGAGTAACTAATATATTTTCGGTAGAAGAAAAATCCCGAAATTTTTTTAATTTTAAATAATTTTTTAAATTTAATTGTAACGACTACTTATTTTGAAATTAATGTTTTGATTGTTATTAATACAATCATGAAAGTGTATCTTTTACATCAAATAGAAAATGATTGCAAAATTGTGATATATTTTCTAGTATCAAGATAAGTTAGAATAAAATTTGAATCCCCTTACAAAGTTGTTAAAAAATTGTATAAAAACTATTTTAACAGTGTTGTTGTTTTTACCTGTTATAAAGTGTCTCGAGCAGACTCGATATGATCTTAGCTGCGAATCTCTCAACTGTCCTCGTTTTATAACTTCTATCCATTTCTCTTGTCTGAGTTTTGACAGTTGAATGTATTGTTCTGCTGTTTGACTAAAGAAATCAGCAACTCTATATTTCTGCTTCAGGTAAACTGCTCTATATTTTCTATTATTTTCACTTATTACAGCTGGAATTCTGTAAAAAGATATTTTTTTATCCTGCCTACTACATCCACCTCGCTGTCGACATCCGATGATACAACAAAACAAAACCATTGTCACTGTTAATTAATAAGAAAAACAATATAAACTGTCATTTTTGGCTATTGAAAAAGTTTGTTTGCTCTCCAGTAAATAGCCATGTTCAGCCATTTTGAATTTAAATCTCCTTAGTACTGAATGTACAGCATTATTCAATAATGGATTCCTAGTTCTACATTGTGTTACTGATGTACAGTTGGTGACAAAAATATCCTTCGAATTATTTAAATTAATAATATTTTATTAAAATAAATAGAGCAAAGAAGATGTATGTCACCGACGTGCAAGCAGTTTTCCAAGATGGAATGAGTTTTCTAAAGGCCAACGCAGAATAGATCTGTAACCGGAACCGCAATCGTTACCGTAAGCGTAAGAATGAGTTAGAGAAGGATAAACAATATACCTATCCTTCTTTAACTCATTCTTACGGTTACGCTTACGATTGCGGTTCCGGTTACAGATCTATTCTGCGTTGGCCTTTAATCGAGGTTGGTGGAATCGGGCATCAGTGTTTTCGTCCCTTTATATAAAGGATATAAAGCGAAAACAATTCACGAAAACGCAATGTCAAAGACGCCTTCACGACAAGAACCATGTGACATCCATAGAATAGAATATAATTAACGTTGGCCCATACTGGCGTTGCGCCTGTATATTTGGCCATGACCTGGTGTGTAATGTGACATCCATTATAGTTTTTTGTACACAGCGCTTGCGCGTCACGTGACTGACCCGGTATACTTGCGAATTGAATACCTCCTTTTCGCGATCACTCGTGTGAAAAATTCTGTTTTTATTCTTTAATGAAATTATTTTTATTAATACGTCGAAGTACACGACTAGGTTTCGGGGGGCTTCGCCCCCCGACGCGTCCGGTGGCTTGAGGTATTATAAAATGCGATTCTTTGAAATGTCGAATATATTATTATTATTCTTTTGAGTTGGTTTTTTTAATTATTTTTATTAATTTATTATAAATTATTATAAATATTTATTAATTAATTTAATTAATTAATATTATTAATTAATTTTATTAATTAATATTGTTAATTAATTTTATTAATAATTATTAATATTTTTTATTATTAATTAATTTTATTAATTAATACTATTAATTTATAATAATAAATTAATTAAATTTTTAATTAATAACAAATTAAAATGAAAAGTTTTAAAATATTGGAAAGAATAAGAACAAATTTATCTCTAGCAAATAATCAGTCGAGCTGTCTAGTTATTAGACATTATTGCAGTGTCATCGACACGACAAACTTAGAACTATAATTTCTAGGAGTACTTTAAAGTAACATTAAAAAAACTAGACAGAAGTTATGTCTAGCCAATATCAAATTCAACTTGAATCTTTGACGAAGAGCGTTGGTCAGTAACTTTACAGTTATTTATCAGTCCGCCTGCGAGAATCAGCGTCCGTGACAAAAACTGTCCAGTAACTTGAACAATCGAGTGGCTCCATGACAAATTTTAAGTTTTTGTCTAAATTTGTCAGAGGTTAAACCTTTTATTATTCTCTTTAGGGACTGAAGAGGTGTGGTCGCGCAGGTGTTGGGTGTAATGTTTCAGGTGAGACAATGCACATTGAAATCCTCTCTCAAATTATATTGAAGAAAATTAACAATAGAGCAATATTTTTGAAGAATCTTCAGAATACTTGATGCAATTGAGAGAAGAAGCGTCTTTATGACTCAGGATTTCGTTACACATAGACAAAAAATACAAGGATTTTATTATTTTAATATTTCTTAAGGCTATTCTTAAGACTATTCTTTTTCAAATGTCAATACAATTCTATAACTTGAAAATTAGTCTCCTAAATTTGTGCCATAGAATTTTAACTGAATTTCCCGGCGGGTAGAAATTGTGGCCAGGTTGACTCTCACTGCAGGAGGTACAGTCATTAAATCGCGAAAAGTATAGGTAAGGAAACGAGATCCATAAAATCAGAAGACAATTTTTAAGCATATTTATATTGTTTATTTCAATCGCTTTGAAAATTTAAAACATTGTAATGAAATTTTTAATTTAGTTTAAATTAAATTCTTCAACAGCCATGAGGGGAATAAAATTATACTCAACCCCAACAGCACCGAAAATTTCCTGAAAGCTGAAATTAACTTGATTGCAACCTTCGGAATTTTTAGTTGCGAAGCTCATGAAACTTGAAGTTGTTCTTTAAGTGTTCGCTGTTATTGAATGTTTGACGTAAAAGTTGACTGAACATTGCATGAGAGTTTAAAAAATTTTAAACTTTCATGCAATGTTCAGTCAACTTTTGCGTCAAACATTGAAAAACAGTAGAAATTTAAAGAATTACTTCAACTTTAACTAAAGATTCCTAAAGATTCCGAACATTGCAGTCAAGTAATTTCAACTTTTAGAAAAGTTTCGATGCTGTGTGGGTATATGAATTTTAAAACAATACCTTGATTTTTTCTTATTTTTGTAAATAATTAAGGTGGTTCAATTCATCCAACACAATGCAGACCTCTAGAAAAATAATGAATCATCATTTAAATAATAAAAATATTTTTGAAAGTATTTTTTACAAAAAACAATAATCTCAATTTTTAAGAAAAAAAATTTATCTATACAACTTACACACAGTCTCAATTTTATTCATACCGCTTCTGTAGGATTTTTTAAAACTGATTTAATTTTAATATAATACGACTTATTGTTTAAAAAAAGGCAAAATTTTCTTTTAAACAAATAAGCATAGTTTCTAAATGACGTTCTTGTTTAATTAAAAATCTGAACGGTGACGTTGTAGTGAATCATTATTTTTAACAAAATAAAACAAATTTATAGGATGACGAAAAATTTTAATCGTGTGCAAATTGTATAAACAAATAACTTTTGTAGGTTTTAATTTTTTTTCTTGAAAAATAATATTTGTTCTTTCAGAATATTATCTATTATAATAATAAATTTTTAATTTTTTTTAAAGCCTACATTTCTTCAGATATAAAAGTCCTTAAATTTTAGAATTTAAGAAACTTTCTTCAAATTATTAAAATTATTATTAATTAACAAAAATTAATTATTTAAGTTTTAAATAACGTTATTTAAAATTCTGAACAAATTATGTTTCTGAAAATTTTTATTCAATTAATTAACTATAATTACATATTATTAAATATTATGTTTTGTCAAATTGAAATTATGCAGACTTTTGTTCTTTCCTTCTAAACAAAATTAGAAAATTGTTAAATAAATGTGATTAAGAAATAGAAAATTTATTTTATAATTCAAAATTGTAATGACAAATAGAAATCATCAGAATTTTGTTCACTTCTTTTCATTAAAAGACTAAAATTTTATTAAATATTATGTTTTGTCAAATTGAAATTATGCAGATTTTTGTTCTTTCCTTCCAAACAAAATTAGAAAATTGTTAAACAAATGTGATTAAGAAATAGAAAATTTATTTACTTTGCATTATTTTTGTTTATGAATCACAATTTTTTTAACAAAATTATTATTTTGTTGCAGAAGAAAAAGAAAAATATTTGCACAATTCCTATTTTTAATCTTATTTTTGGAACAGGATTTTCTACAGGAATTAAGACATTCAAAAATTTTAAATTCAAACTTTTTTTAAATTAAACAACTTATCAAAGTATTGTTATAAAACAAGAAGATATCGATTGCTCCGTGTCGAAGACTCGGAGTGATCGAATTTTCCATGTTTTCTAATAATTAAAGATGACCGAGAGATAAAATCAGTATTTTATATTATAAGAATATTGTTACTGTAACTTCATCAAAATTATTTACATCATTTTAATTCAATTATTATTTTCTAGAATTTTAAATTATTTTTTATGAAAATAATAATTGAATTCCTTAGAAAAATTCTATTATTCATGAAAATAATAGAATTTCTGTGAAATTTTTATTATTCATTTATTTATTTATTTATTTAAAGAAAATAATTAAATGTTTGCATATTTTTATTAAAAATTTTTTTAAATAGGGGAGGGTAGGCTACATTGAACCGGGTATTTTATAAAGTCCAAGAACTAATTAAATTTTACAAATGTCGATCAGGTTTTTGTATCAAAATTAAGCTGCAGTACTCCTTTAGTTAATACACACGTTACAAACACAAATTATTATGATTAAATAATTAAATTAAATTTTTTTCTAACAAGTTACACTTTTCTTATTTTGAAGGATCTGTGTCTACATTGAACCACCTCTAATAAAACACTACAATTTACTTTAAAAATAATATTTCCACTTACACATTGTAAAAAATCTTATTTTTCACTCAAAAAAATAGAAAATTGTTGTTAAAGAGTTATTATTTGTTAAGATAGGAGATTAATATATTTCGATGTCAGGTTAGGTAGCAAAAGTGACAGTTTAAGTTTATCACGTTGACAATTGTGATGAAAGCATGTCTTCCAGTATTTTTCTTACTAATTAGTAGAGCAGACAACTTTACAACTCTTAAAATTGAAAATTCTTTGCTTTTTCGGGTAGTTCAATGATGCCGCACTCACTGTATACACATGACAATCACAACAAAAATTGTTTATTATAAATTTATGTAAGATTTAAAATTCTTTATCACATCAGAATATTGAAGTTGACACTCTAAGCGAAATAAATCACAAGCTTATTAATTTTTAAAACTTCCTATTTCAATAAAAAAATGTCATTATATTCCCACAACATTTTTTGTTTTGTACGTGAAAAACCGTTTTTTTTAGTTTTTCTTCATAAATAATAAACCTACGTGCCCGAAATTTTTGGACATAGTTTGTTTCAGTAAAACTAACTTATATATTAAATAAGAAAAAATTTCACTCATTCATTTCTCAGAAAATTGAAGTGGTTCACTGTTGACGCTGGTTCAATGTAGCCTACTCTCCCCTAATTGAATTCTTTTTGGGAAATTTTATTAAAATAGTAGAAATTGAAAATCATTGAAATTAGAAAAATTTTTGAAAATAATTGAAATTAGGACAAGAATTTTTTTGATATTTATGAAAATAATTGAACTTTGGAGAAGAAATTTGTTATTTATTGGGGGATTTTTACGAGAATTTTTTTCAAATTTTGAACATAGTTGAATTTTTATTATTTGTAATTTCTCAAAAATTTTATTTTTTAGTGTTTTCAACAAAAATTTAAATTAGAAAAATTTTTAAATTCTATTATTTTATTTAAAAAAGGTATAGTAAGAATAAGTTAGCCGCGCTCTTTAGCGCGCGAATTGTTGCTAGTGCTTTTTTAAAGTTACTTGAATTTTTAAAAAATGTATTAAAGAATAATCAAATTAATGTAAATTTTGTAATTTTAAATTGAAAATAATTAAATTTGTTAATGAATTTTATTAAACATTTAAAAAAAATCGAATTTGAAAGAATTTTAATTTAATAATAATTGGGTAACTAATTTCATATTTACAGAGAGTCACAATCGAATATATTGTATGTTTGTTAGTATAAAAACATAATTTAAATCGTCAAAGTTGAATCTAATATAATATTTAATTTTGAAAGAGTTAAAATTACAATTTTTATTTATATTAGTTATTATTACTCATAATATTACTTTTTAATTGAGAAAATGTTTTTTATAAAGTAAGCAAGGAAAAATTCTAATGAAAAAGCCAGCCAAAAATTTTTTGATTTGAACATTTTTAACATTTTTAATATTTCTTACCATGAAATAAATATATTTCATAGTTATTTTTGATTTTGAACTGAATGTAGACAGTGGCCCACAATTCCCCAAAATTTTTAAAAATCATAAAATTGCACTCTTTGGTAAAAATGAAATTTCTTTAAGGTACGTGATAATTTTGTGAAACTGACTATGATATATGTTAGTTTATACCTCCTACTGACACGAAAAATTTTTAAATTTGAAAAAAAAATTTTGTGTGTAAGATATTGAGCTAAAAAAAGTGTGGCCCACAATTCCCCAATCTCCCCTACCTATCTCAGTTTTCAACATTAGCATGTAATATTACTTCAATATCAACGTGTAATATTACCATGCAGCGGACATTTTGATATTAGATCACTGTAATATTACAGCTAATATTATGAATATTCAGTGTAATATTACAGTGATATAAAGATAATTATTCTACGTGCTTCTGGGAAAAGAATTTAACTTAATTTTTCTTAAACTGAATAATTTAATTTTTATAAATATAAGTGACGGGATTACCTCTCTTAAAATGAAGGAAAAAACTGAAAAATTTTTGGAAAAATAATTTTTTCTTGCAAATTGTTATATATAATTATTTCCGAAATTTTGTAAATAATTTTTTAAAAACAATGGATTTTTAAAATAAATAATCCCAAATGCCCACATAGCACTGAAACGTTCATAAAAGTTTATTAAAGGTTTATTTGCAAACTTCGGAGTATTTACTTGCAAAGTTTAGTGACATTTGTGTAAAAATTTAAATGTCCCACTTCAATAAATAAATAAGTGTTTAGCGTGAAACTTCCCTGAACATTTAAATTACATTTTCACCAAAATTCATTATAGGCGAGAATATATCGTGAAACTTTCCTAAAAATTTATTTATTTATTGAAGTTGGACATTTAAATCCTTATGCAATTTTCACTAAACTTTGCAAGTAAATACTTCGAAGTTTGCAAATAAATATTCAATAAATTTTTAGGAAAGTTTCGGTGCTGTGTGGGTGTAGGTGTAAATATTTCCATATTTTTTTAAAAAACCATTATTTCCAAACGAAATTTGAATTTTTTCCACAGAATGCAAAGTTTTATTATATTTTTGTAGAAGTTCTCTGTTTGAAAACTATGAACAGTTAGAGAATTTTACAAAGAAAACTTGTAGAAACTTTAAAATTATAAAAATCAACTATTAATTTTATTACATATATAGATTCCCTTTTTAATAAATTAAAAAATTATGTAAGTATAAACTTTTCTTATTACAAATTTATTGGCTGCATTTTGTTGACAAAATTGAATTTCTTCAAAAAATTTTAAGTATTTTATAATAAATATTAGGTATTAGAATAATATAACAGTTTCGAGAAAATTTAAAAAGGAATTTATTTCCTTTGAAAGTAAAAGTTTCTTTTCAATTCTTTTATATACTCTCATATTAGTTTAAAATTACATTTTAAATATATTTTAATGACCTATACGACAATATTAACTACTGGGTATTCACCAGTTTTCTTCCATAGGGTGAATTAGTGCGTTGTCTGGATTCTTTACTCCTTTGTGCGCCCTAAAGTCATTAACACTAATTGCTTCATCGTCAAAAAAAAGATATTTTTTATAGAAGTTCCAATATTCAGGCTTCGCACTCCATAATTCATTTTTAAAAAGTGTCAAAAATCAGCTTTAAGACTCAGGGTGTCTACTAACCGGGAAAAACCGGGAATAAGCCAGGAATTGTATGCCAAACCGGAAATTTTTTCACCAAATTAAAAAAAGTTTTATTAATTAAATTTGTTTTTAAAAAATCGCTTTTTATTTCAATTTTTTAGATATTTATACTGTTCTCTAAATTTGAATTAATTAAAAATAATTAATTTGGAAGTAAAAAATCAGTCACTGATTCAAATATAGTATGTAAATATATTTTTAAAAAATTATCGAATTAATAGAAATTTTGTGAAATGCAACTGAAAATAATAAAATTTATTAAAGAATTTTATTAAAAACTTTTTAACAAATTGAATTTTATAAAGATTCACATTCTAATGTATTCATGTTTCTTAGGGATCATTCACATATTACGTCACATGCTTAGGGGGGAGAGAGGCTCTACAATTTTGTGACGGCCTGTGTAAAAATTATCAATTTCTATGCAAGAAAATGTGACGTAAGGGGGGAAGGGTTAAAAATTTTCCAAATTTGCGTGACGTAATATGTGAATGATCCCTTAGTTCGAAGACAAATAATCAAAATTTGTATTACTTAATTAAAAAAAAGATACATAGGGTCAATTGGGGTAAATGTAAACGGAATATCTATGTTTCACCAAAAACATTAGTTTTTTTTTGTTAAAAGGTAAAACGGACGGATTTCTTTTGCATGAACTTGTTGCTAGTGTTCCCTAGAAAAATTTTATGAGGTGCAGAAAAATATTGATGCACCTGAATCGCCTAAAATTGACTGTTTATATTTACCCCGAGATTTTGAAATTTTCCTAAAATTCGGGGTAAATGTAAACACCACTGTAGTTAAGCGAGGTTTAAGAAACAAGTTATTTCAAGTATACTACTGTTTTAAGGGATGGAAAAACTGATAAAAAATTCTTCGTAGATGTATAGTAAATCAACCAGTTTACATCATATAAAATAAACAACCCAATGGGAAATGCTAACGTAGTGCCGATGTTCACCACTGGCTTAGTACTTATTTTTCTTAAGATTAAATTATTTCTCTAATAATAAACACCATATCTTAATTTTTTCGACTTACTTTTAAATTCAATCATTGACAACTTTTATGAATTTATTAGGTACCTATTAACTAATTATTAATTATTGCATTAACTTAATCAAATATTAAAAAAGACATTTACATTATACTTTATAAATTTAAATTAACGAAATTTTACTGATTATCCCCAACGACAAGTATGTAACTGATTTAAAATGCGTATTTGTCTAATTAATTAGTGAAATTTCATTAATTCAGTATAAACACTGCAAAAAAAGGTGTCTTATTTTGAGACGTTTTTAGTGTCTTAGATACCAAAAACGTCTCAAAATAAGACACCTCTTTTTGCAATGAAATCACTATTTCAGATAATTTAACATATTAAATTTGAATCAATGAAAAATTACTGATAAAATCACTGACAATCATTTAATTTTCACTGATTGTCAAAAGGTATTCACTGAGAATTATAGTGATTTACTATTGGTGATTGACTTTCTGCTTTTAAATTAGTAAATTTTACTAATAATTAGTAATTTTTACCAACTTATTAGTAAACCTTACTAATTCAAAATTAGTCACTATAATTGAAATTAGTAACAATTTTTACTAATTCAATTTTAGAGAGTTGATAAAACAGATTAACTGGTTCATTTAGTAAAAAAATTACTGGCAATCAGTGAAATTCTATACTGAAGAAGCAATGAATTTTTAATGACAATTAGTCATAAAATTAACAGATTGAAATAAAGAAAAATCGTCCACCATAATGACAGCGAGTCAATTATATTTGACTAACTGTCAGGGGTATTTTATTGATTCAAATTTAAAGTATAATTCAACTTTTTTTGCTTATGTTTTAATACAATTTTATTTTAATTGAAATTTATTATTAAATTTTATTATTATAATTTATTTATATATTATAATATTATAACTAATTGTATATTTATCTTACTATCTATTACAGCAATATTTATAAACATATATTATTAAATTTTATTATTGAATAAATTATTTATTTTGTATATACGGTATAACTCGGTTGTACGTCAGATGGAAAAAAATTGTCCACCTAAATCAACCCTGTTGATTTAGGCCACACCTAGTGCCCAAAAGGCCCGCCTGGACCATCCCAGCACAAGGGGTGGGTCCTTCATCTTCTACAAGGGAAGGGGTAGCGTGCTAATGACACTCAAGGCTACGTTCTGAATTTCAAGTAAAGAATTGCTCAGTTGATCCTCTCGACCTAGAGCTTACAGGTTACTCTTAGAGTTCAACCAGAAAACCCTGTTGTGTCAAAGTGTCAGAAGTGTAAAAGCAAAATCATATTGCTTTCAAAAGTTTTTGATGTTACTTTGAAATCAGTGAAAAAATATTGTAATTTATTATCTCATCTTTGTGGTGCTAAGTTTTGAAGAAGTGTTTTATTTGCGTTCATCTGCTTCAAAGAATTCAGAATTCCTGCTCCTGCCTTTAGCATCTGCTTCAAAGAGTTGAAGATTTCAAAAGCTCACACACAAAAATTAATTGTAAGTAATTTTATAAATATATGTTTTATTTTTATTAAGGTAGTTCTCTCATTTTTGTAAGAAATCAATTTTGATAAAATATTTTTCAAATTTTTAGTAAATTTTGCTTTATGCAAACGATGCAAACCTTTTGTCTTGTAAAAGTTTTAGAACCCTTTTTATCGTACCGAAATTGAGATATTTGGATTCAAATCTCAATTTCGGTACGGTAAAGGATTCTAACATTTTTATCAGGCAGATAAGGCTTGCATAAAAGAACATTTACTCAAACTTTGTAGAATATTTTATTTGAATATAATATATAATAATAAGCATTTCTCAAAAACTCTCGAAGTTATATGTATATACATTTGAAGATTTAAAATTGTCACATGTATATTGTATAAGTTTTATTTACTTCACATTGTTTTTAATATAAATTTTGAATTATTTTATTTTAAATTTATTTACAACGCAATATTTAAAAATTCTGGTTTTTATATGTATTTGTTTATAATAATCTTTTAATCTGAATAATGAACTTTTATATACTTAATAAATACGGAGTGTCTATTTGGCCCGTCAGCGGGCCAAATAAGTTACTTTTATTATTTGGCCCGTCACCCCACTCCCATGCATTTCAAGACGGGCCAAATAAAAAAAGCAGTTTATTTGGCCCGTCAGATAACAAATTAGCTGTAATTAATAACAATAGATTATTATTATTACTATTTCTACAAATAGATTAATTTAATCACCATAATTTTTTTTACATCAATTTAAAAGGTAATGTATATTTTAACCTCAAAGTAAAGATGCAAATTATAAACATAATTATTTATAGTACATAATATTATAAATTATATTTAAAAATAATTTTTAAAAGTAAACAATAACATTTTTTCGAATATAAATCAAAATTCAATGAAATTTGACAAAATTTCCAATTAATTGGAAAGTTAATTTCATTTTTTAAAATTATTTATGGGAATTTAACTAAAAAACATTTCAATTACTTTTCTTAAAAAGGCTAATTTTTATTCATAGTTAAATAAATATTTAAGTACTTATTTACTTTTTCAATAATTTCACTTTTTTCACTTTAACTGTAATTATTCTAAAATTTAACTTTTTAAAAATATAAAAATAAAAATATTTTTACAAAAATAAAAATTTCCGAAGAATACAATTTTTACATTCTCATAAAAAATGAGAATGTCTTGAATTTGTGCGATTTTTTCAAATTTAATTATTTCTTAAAATTTTGTTTATGAAATTTTCCAAAGGACTTTATAACTTTTTTTTAAAGTTATAATTGCTGTAAAAATTTTAATATTTATAAAAATAATTAAATGTTTGAGAAGAATTTTATTTAAATTTTTTAAAATAACTGAATTTCTGAAAATAATTTTTTTATTTATAAAAATAATTGAACTCTTGCGAAAAATTTATTTATTTATGAAAATAATTAAATTCTCACGTAGAATTTTATCAAATTTTTGTTTATTAATAATATTAAATTCTTTCGTGAAGTTGTTTTGAAATACTAGATATTTCAACTAATTAAGTTTTAGAGAATTTGATTATTTACCAAAGTATTAATTTTTTTGTGAAAAATTCGTTTATGTTTTTTAAAAATAATTCAATCGTTTTTATTAAAATTTTTAAGAAGAATTTTCTTATTACATTACCTGTCAAATTCATGTAAAAAATAGTACCTGGTGATTAAATTAATCTATTTGTAAAAATAGAAATAATAATAATCGAATGTTATTAATTACAGCTAATTTGTTATCTGACGGGCCAAATAAACTACTTTTTTTATTTGGCCCATCTTGAAATGCATGGAAGTGGGGTGACGGGCCAAATAATAAAAGTAACTTATTTGGCCCGCTGACGGGCCAAATAAGAAATATAGGAGTGATGAATTATTTCGCCGCCGTCACTAAAAATACGAGACGCATGCTTATTCCCGAAATCTTTTTTGACCAAATAGTTATTTGATATAAAACTACTTAACATAAAATTCACATAATATGCACATTATTTGACATAAATTTCATTGGACACAAAAACCATTTAACATAAATATCATTTGTCATATAGAATTCATTAAACAGAAATATTATGTTACATAAATAAACTCAGATAACTTAATTCCCATTTAACATAAAAATTATGCAACATAAATTTCTATTGACATAAAAATCATTTAACATAAATTTCTTTTAACATAAAACTCATTTAACGTAAATTTTATTTGTTATAAAATTCATTTGACGTCAATTTTATTTGGCATAAATGTCATTTAACATAATTCTCAATTGACATAAATATCATTAGACATAAAATTAGCTTGACATAAATTTCATTTGACGTGAATATCATTTAACATAATTATTATTTAACGTAAAATTAAATTTATATATATTTCATTTAGCATAAATTCCATTTAACATAAATTTCATTTGATATAAATCCCATTTAACATAATTTTCATTTGATATAAATCCCATTTAACATAATTTTCATTTGACATAAAGTTCACTTGATATCAATTTCATTTGACGGATAACTCATTACACATAATTCTTATTTGACATAGAATTCAGTTGTCATAGATTTTATTTTACATATAAGATCATTTGACATGGAAATATGTGAATTTCAAAATTGGCGAATTACAATGTTGTTGATAATATCTAATTGGTTACTTTAAAAATTCGCGCCGATATTGTTATGTAAAATGTAATTTGTGTAAAATGATTTTTACAGTACCGTCCGAAATTGTCAGTCCACCCATTTTCAAAGGAATGACAAAAATTTTTTAACATAAAATTCATGAAAAGTAAAATTTTTTTTGGTTTATATTTTGAAAGACGATAAAATTTTGAAAAGAATAAGACCTTACAGAACTCATTTGGCCAAAATTTGTAGAAGATATTATTAAAAATCGTCATTTTCAATGTTTTACAAAAATTTGAATAACTTCTTAAATAATGAACGCTTTTTAATAATCTTAGGCTTATTTTAAAGACCATTGTCTACAGAATAAGAATTACTTATAGGCATTAACCTGTAATTTTTAACTTGGAATAAGCATGACGTCAAAGTTGGACAAAAAAATTCAAAAAATTTGAAATAATATTATTAAAAGAAAAATAATTTTTGAAACTCAAACATATATTTTTATTAAATTTTCTTGAAAAATCTACACCATATCATGTTTTATCATTCTTTTAAAAATAGTATCATAAAACTTATTTTCCAAATCTGAATTAATATACTTTTGAACTGATTTGAACAAAATTCATAAGAATTTTCTAAAAATTAATATTTTTAGTCTATATAGATAGGTAGAAAAAATATTAAAATACATAATCTAGTTTCTTTTATAAAATATTATATAGAAAATTACTAATGAGCACCAAAAATATTGATAAATAAAAAAACTTTGTGAATTATTATAAAAATTCACAACTTTTTAAGTTTTTAATTCAATCTTCACAAAAATATACAAGTGACAATAACCCAGTAAAAAAAGAAGTATTGAGTGAAGCGTTTAGGAATTGAGTGAAGCTCTGAGCCAATACGGATTCGAGTAAAAACCGTATTGGGACGTTTGACTCAATCTTTTTTTCATCCGCCGAATACGGTCTTATTTTTGCATTAAAATTAAAATCACATGAGCAGAGTACACATTATAAATTGAAAGCACAATTGTCCTGGAATGTAAAAATGCCGATTTAGATAAGAAACTGTAAATATTTTTTATTTTTTGTTAAAAATTGGTAAAAGCAAAGTTTGACAAGCGCAACTGAATTTACCATGTGAATAAATTAAGTGGTAAGTTTAAATGAACGAAATGGACTAAAAGAAATCTACTTTTACCAACAGAAAGTTCCTAGAGAATTGTGGTAAATTCAACAAAACAATGAAATTTCATTGTTTTCTAGGAACTTTCTGTCGGTAACAGAAGATTTCTTTTAGTCCATTTAAACTTGCCACTTCATTTATTCACATGGTAAAATCAGTCGCGCTTGTCAAACTTTGCTTTTACCAATTTTTAACAAAAAATAAAAAATATTCACAGTTTCTTATCTAAATCGGCATTTTTACATTCCAGGACAATTGTGCTTTCAATTTATAATGTGTACTCTGCTCATGTGATTTTAATTTTAATGCAAAAATAAGACCGTATTCGGCGGATGAAAAAAAGATTGAGTCAAACGTCCCAATTCGGTTTTTACTCGAATCCGTATTGGCTCAGAGCTTCACTCAATTCCTAAACGCTCCACTCAATACTTCTTTTTTTACTGGGAAGCTAACCTTTTTCCCATTAAAATTAATTAAAAGACCAAAAAACGGGCGAAGCAATGTGTCATTGCTACTTCGCCCGTTTTACATATTTTTACTTATTTTTCATGATAGGCGAAATAATTTTTACTCTTTTTATTTCGCCCTTTTGCCCCTTCTTACTAATTTTTCATGACGGGCGAAATAATTCATCTCTCTTATTTCGCCCAGACGGGCGAAATAGACACAGCGTAAAAATATTGACTTTTTTAAACAAATAAACATATTTTTAACACTATTTTTTAAAGAAAATAAAGAAAGTAGAATTGATCAGGGAAAAATTAGGGATTTTTACTGGAAAAAATTAAATATTTACAATTTATAAGAAAATTCTAAATTTTTGAGTCTTCCCAATGGGAAATTAACAATTGGCGCAATAATGGTCCTATATTGGGAGCCAGCAGTACCAATGATGGTGCAATAATAGCAACCAATATTGGACCACTATTGCCAGAGTCTTGGGATGATCACGACTTTGCCAAGCATTGGCAGCCAATATTGGATCACTATTGGCTGCCAAGACAAATGCCGGACTTTCCAAGCCTTGGATATTCATTGGCAACAAAGATTGGACCAATATTAATGACCAATTAATTACCAATGCTTTAAAATTAAATTAATTCTTGGTTATTTATTGGTTACCAATATTGATCCAACGTTTGAAA